TACTATATTATCTTAGCCCGCTGCCACCGCTGCTTAATATTGAGCGACTTGTTTATTCGACTGAATTATTCGACTGGATTATTCGACTGAATTATTCGACTGAACTATTCGACTGGTTTATTCGACTGAACTTTTCGACTGAATTATTCGACTGGTTTATTCGACTGGATTATTCGACTGAACTAACTGACTGGTTTTATCGACTGGACGATGCCACATGAAAATGTCAAATACCTCATCCCCCCCCGCCCCACCCCATCCCCTTTCTTCGTTCATATCATATATAGGGACTCTATTCTTTTCGAGGCGGACAAGGACAGCTGTCTAGTCTTTCGGATGGGACGAAAAACCGAGGTCCCGTGTCTACATTGGAGTGGACGTAAAAGATCCCTTTGACAGATGGAATTCGATATAAGAGTAGGCCGTAGTGCCGCTGTCCGGGCAAAATTTCCCTCATCGCACAGTGTATGGCGTCTGCCCGTCTTCATTAGCCCAGTTCCAAGCAGAACAGAAGGACGTTAAACCCCATTTCATTTCTTTTCATTTCTTGAAACTAGTTGGGAAGCCCCCCGGTCCCTACCCCATGCCCCCGGCTCCTTCAGCTATGGCTACGAGCATGATTTGCTACTATATTATCTTAGCCCGCTGCCACCGCTGCTTAATATTGAGCGACTGAATTATTCGACTGGATTATTCGACTGAACTATTCGACTGGTTTATTCGACTGAACTTTTCGACTGAATTATTCGACTGGTTTATTCGACTGGATTATTCGACTGAACTAACTGACTGATTTTATCGACTGGACGAGGCCACATGACAATGTCAAATACCTCATCCCCCCCAACCCCGCCCCACCCCATCCCCTTTCTTCGTTCATATCATATATAGGGACTCTATTCTTTTCGAGGCGGACAAGGACAGCTGTCTAGTCGTTCGGATGGGACGAAAAACCGAGGTCCCGTGTGCACATTGGCGTGGACGTAAAAGATCCCTTGACAGATGGAATTCGATATAAGAGTAGGCCGTAGTGCCGCTGTCCGGGCAAAATTTCCCTCATCGCACAGTGTATGGCGTCTGCCCGTCTTCATTAGCCCAGTTCCAAGCAGAACAGAAGGACGTTAAACCCCATTTCATTTCTTTTCATTTCTTGAAACTAGTTGGGAAGCCCCCCGGTCCCTACCCCATGCCCCCGGCTCCTTCAGCTATGGCTACGAGCATGATTTGCTACTATATTATCTTAGCCCGCTGCCACCGCTGCTTAATATTGAGCGACTTGTTTATTCGACTGAATTATTCGACTGGATTATTCGACTGAATTATTCGACTGAACTATTCGACTGGTTTATTCGACTGAACTTTTCGACTGAATTATTCGACTGGTTTATTCGACTGGATTATTCGACTGAACTAACTGACTGATTTTATCGACTGGACGAGGCCACATGACAATGTCAAATACCTCATCCCCCCCAACCCCGCCCCACCCCATCCCCTTTCTTCGTCCATATCATATATAGGGACTCTATTCTTTTCGAGGCGGACAAGGACAGCTGTCTAGTCTTTCGGATGGGACGAAAAACCGAGGTCCCGTGTATACATTGGAGTGGACGTAAAAGATCCCTTTGACAGATGGAATTCGATATAAGAGTAGGCCGTAGTGCCGCTGTCCGGGCAAAATTTCCCTCATCGCACAGTGTATGGCGTCTGCCCGTCTTCATTAGCCCAGTTCCAAGCAGAACAGAAGGACGTTAAACCCCATTTCATTTCTTTTCATTTCTTGAAACTAGTTGGGAAGCCCCCCGGTCCCTACCCCATGCCCCCGGCTCCTTCAGCTATGGCTACGAGCATGATTTGCTACTATATTATCTTAGCCCGCTGCCACCGCTGCTTAATATTGAGCGACTTGTTTATTCGACTGAATTATTCGACTGGATTATTCGACTGAATTATTCGACTGAACTATTCGACTGGTTTATTCGACTGAACTTTTCGACTGAATTATTCGACTGGTTTATTCGACTGGATTATTCGACTGAACTAACTGACTGGTTTTATCGACTGGACGATGCCACATGAAAATGTCAAATACCTCATCCCCCCCCGCCCCACCCCATCCCCTTTCTTCGTTCATATCATATATAGGGACTCTATTCTTTTCGAGGCGGACAAGGACAGCTGTCTAGTCTTTCGGATGGGACGAAAAACCGAGGTCCCGTGTCTACATTGGAGTGGACTTAAAAGATCCCTTTGACAGATGGAATTCGATATAAGAGTACGCCGTAGTGCCGCTGTCCGGGCAAAATTTCCCTCATCGCACAGTGTATGGCGTCTGCCCGTCTTCATTAGCCCAGTTCCAAGCAGAACAGAAGGACGTTAAACCCCATTTCATTTCTTTTCATTTCTTGAAACTAGTTGGGAAGCCCCCCGGTCCCTACCCCATGCCCCCGGCTCCTTCAGCTATGGCTACGAGCATGATTTGCTACTATATTATCTTAGCCCGCTGCCACCGCTGCTTAATATTGAGCGACTGAATTATTCGACTGGATTATTCGACTGAATTATTCGACTGAACTATTCGACTGGTTTATTCGACTGAACTTTTCGACTGAATTATTCGACTGGTTTATTCGACTGGATTATTTGACTGAACTAACTGACTGATTTTATCGACTGGACGAGGCCACATGACAATGTCAAATACCTCATCCCCCCCAACCCCGCCCCACCCCATCCCCTTTCTTCGTTCATATCATATATAGGGACTCTATTCTTTTCGAGGCGGACAAGGACAGCTGTCTAGTCGTTCGGATGGGACGAAAAACCGAGGTCCCGTGTGCACATTGGCGTGGACGTAAAAGATCCCTTGACAGATGGAATTCGATATAAGAGTACGCCGTAGTGCCGCTGTCCGGGCAAAATTTCCCCCATCGCACAGTGTATGGCGTCTGCCCGTCTTCATTAGCCCAGTTCCAAGCAGAACAGTAGGACGTTAAAACCCCATTTCATTTCTTTTCATTTCTTGAAACTAGTTGGGAAGCCCCCCGGTCTCTACCCCATGCCCCGGCTCCTTCAGCTATGTCTAAGAGCATGATTTGCTATCATATCATCTTAGCCCGCTGCCACCGCTGCTTAATATTGAGCGACTTGTTTATTCGACTGAATTATTCGACTGAACTATTCGACTGAAGTATTCGACTGAACTATTCGACTGAAGTATTCGACTGAACTTTTCGACTGAATTATTCGACTGGTTTATTCGACTGGATTATTCGACTGAACTAACTGACTGATTTTATCGACTGGACGAGGCCACATGAAAATGTCAAATACCTCATCCCCCCCCCCGCCCCACCCCATCCCCTTTCTTCGTTCATATCATATATAGGGACTCTATTCTTTTCGAGGCGGACAAGGACAGCTGTCTAGTCGTTCGGATGGGACGAAAAACCGAGGTCCCGTGTATACATTGGAGTGGACGTAAAAGATCCCTTTGACAGATGGAATTCGATATAAGAGTAGGCCGTAGTGCCGCTGTCCGGGCAAAATTTCCCTCATCGCACAGTGTATGGCGTCTGCCCGTCTTCATTAGCCCAGTTCCAAGCAGAACAGAAGGACGTTAAACCCCATTTCATTTCTTTTCATTTCTTGAAACTAGTTGGGAAGCCCCCCGGTCCCTACCCCATGCCCCCGGCTCCTTCAGCTATGGCTACGAGCATGATTTGCTACTATATTATCTTAGCCCGCTGCCACCGCTGCTTAATATTGAGCGACTTGTTTATTCGACTGAATTATTCGACTGGATTATTCGACTGAATTATTCGACTGAACTATTCGACTGGTTTATTCGACTGAACTTTTCGACTGAATTATTCGACTGGTTTATTCGACTGGATTATTCGACTGAACTAACTGACTGGTTTTATCGACTGGACGAGGCCACATGAAAATGTCAAATACCTCATCCCCCCACCCCCGCCCCACCCCATCCCCTTTCTTCGTTCATATCATATATAGGGACTCTATTCTTTTCGAGGCGGACAAGGACAGCTGTCTAGTCGTTCGGATGGGACGAAAAACCGAGGTCCCGTGTCCACATTGACGTGGTCGTAAAAGATCCCTTTGACAGATGGAATTCGATATAAGAGTAGGCCGTAGTGCCGCTGTCCGGGCAAAATTTCCCTCATCGCACAGTGTATGGCGTATGCCCGTCTTCATTAGCCCAGTTCCAAGCAGAACAGTAGGACGTTAAAACCCCATTTCATTTCTTTTCATTTCTTGAAACTAGTTGGGAAGCCCCCCGGTCTCTACCCCATGCCCCGGCTCCTTCAGCTATGTCTAAGAGCATGATTTGCTACCATATCATCTTAGCCCACTGCCACCGCTGCTTAATATTGAGCGACTTGTTTATTCGACTGAATTATTCGACTGAACTATTCGACTGGTTTATTCGACTGAACTTTTCGACTGAATTATTCGACTGGTTTATTCGACTGGATTATTAGACTGAACTAACTGACTGATTTTATCGACTGGACGAGGCCACATGATAATGTCAAATACCTCATCCCCATCGCACCCCTAACCCAACATATCATATATAGGGACTCTATTCTTTTGGAGGTGGACAAGGACAGATGTCTAGTCGTTCGGATGGGACGAAAAACCGAGGTCCCGTGTACACATTGGCGTGCACTTAAAAGATGGGGGCATATGGGGATGAGGGAAAAAGTCAAGCATGACTTTATTAAGCCGCGGTGGCAATAACTAAGATAACACCTTAAAGTTTTAATTTGAACAATCAAATTTGAACATGAGGGGACGTAAAAAATAAACAAAAACAATGATAAAAGATATTGGAATTAGTGCGTTTTTTCTTTAACTTATACAGATTACAAACGATTCCAAAATTTTAATAAGCCATCGACCGGTTTATTCGACTGACTATTTGTTTTGGACTTAGGGTCGACTCAGTTTTCCTAATAATGTTAATCAAGACTACTGGGGAAAACCGTTGACGTCATCTCCGTTTTTTTCCGTCAGTAAACAACATGGCTGGAATGGATGACAAGTATGATAGCGCTCTCCTTGGAATTTTACAGAATGAGGGAAATATATCAAGTTTTTTACAAGTCATGTTTGGCTTTCTTTTTCGCAGGTGATAATCTTTTTAGATTTTATAAGTTCATTTCTGTTGAAAGATTACACATAATCTCAATCTTATGGTTTACAAAAATGAAAACACAATAATTTTGGCTTGCTGGCACTGCTGATTCTGAAACTTGGTTGGAATACTTACAGTAGTTACAGACGTTTATATAGAAGTTTAAAGTACATTCATCAATGGCTCTGTTCACTGTCAGACGATTATTATTGATTGATATTGTGATTAGCCCCTGTCATAATTAAGGTGTACTGCAGAGCAGTGGTTATAGCGTTATCAGCTAGCCACTATACATATCCATTATGAATGATTGTGATGCATTTACACTGCCAAAAACATTTTAACTATCATCGAAAAGCAAATAAATTGTCCTAAACAATTTGTAACCTGCTTAGCAGTCATTGAGAAGCTTTGCTGTGGAGGAAATTTGGCTGGGTTTCAGAGGTATAAATCTGAACCATGACATATATCTTACATTGACACTTGGTTGAGGGATTATGATTAAGTCCTGAAGATTTTAACATGAACATACATGTAGTTAGCAACAATCAAGAACTAAAAGACCTACTACACATGTACAGAAAAAAAAACATCAAAAGGGACTGGTATTCCGTACAACAGGTACCTGTAAAGTTTCATTCGATTCTATTATTAAAAGCGTGGTATCAATTCCCTGGTTGTACGTGACAAGGAATAGGGTCAGCTGTCCAACCTCGTGGGTTTTCTTTCTGGTTTCCCTCCACTGCTAAAGACCCCTACACAGAAGCAAATTATTGAAATAAAATTGAACCATTTTAGTCCCCAAAATGATCTAGTTTGTGTCAAGTGGACGTTAAAGCCCATTTCTCTCTCTCTCTGTTCTTAAGAGTTAACTGACACAACCCTAAGAATGAGAAGATGATCAAGATTTAGAGATTACATGTCATTTCGGTCCCGCGTCTTTTCGAACTTACGTCATTTCAGACTTCAAAAATTACATGTATGTCCTTGACATTTTGGACTCGGGTAGGTGACGTTTCGAACTCGGGTATAGAACATACTCAAAGATTGGTTTTGACTGTTCTGGACACCTTTCTCGTAGATACGTAAACATGTCTACTATATGTTCTTCTGGCAGGAAGGGGAGAGTCGTTAGTTTCCTGAGATAATTGAATACATGTACATCACCCTTTTCATTATAAACCGTCTCAAATAATATAATATTAATCACTAGATTAAATACAACAATCTCCAATCAATTAAATAGAGATTAAATAATCTCGGCTTGGTTTCACTAATCAACCAAACGGAAGGTAGCAGTGTTTTTATTTCTCAATCAATTGATCAATTATCGTCAATAATCTAAACTTACTCAGATTAAATACAACAAACGCCAATCAATTAAGTAGAGATTAAATAATCTCGGCTTGGTTTCACTAATCAACAAAAGGAAACTAGCGTTGTTTTTATTTCTCAATCATTTCTTAACGGCTTTAAGAATTGCTAATCAATTGACCAATTATCGTCAATAATCTAAACTTACTCAAATTAAATACAATAATCGCCGATCAAGAAATATTGGTTTTACTTCAAGTTCAAGTGCGTAAGGTCTGTATGTGATAAATAAAACACAACTAACAATGTTTATTGTGAATGGTCTGTCTTCGGCCTCACCTAAAACGAAAGAAATAAAAGTTCAAGTGTACAAGGTCTGTATGGGATAAATAAAACACAAGTAACAATGTTTAATTTCTTTATTATTGTGAATGGTCTGTCTTCGGCCTCAACCAAAAACGAAAGGAAAAACAGTTATTACAAATACATACATAGAATTTTTCAGCTTTTATTGACGTGGGACCGAAATGACGTGCTACCGATTTAGAAACCGGCCGTGGCACAGTTGTAAAAAGTTTGATTTAAGCTTGACCCAGGAAGTAACTGGTGAAAGAAATGATGTCAATAGGGTTTCGTGGTAAAGGTTAGCGTATTGGCCTTGAGTATGCTTACAGCTAAAAACGTTGCTGTCGCCCGTGTTGCGATTTCTGATTTTTTTTCTTTTTCCTAAATTCGTTTAACGAAATAAATAAAACCAAGACAGATTAATTGATTCTGAATATTGTGGAAATGTTAATTCGGCTGTGAATTCTAATCTGGAACTATCTGTAGATTAATCATGCATTGTGCCCTTGGCTTAAAATGTCACTGGAGCCTTTGCATCAACAGTAAAAAAAACTTTCATATTCTGGTCACACACACAAATGCAATTTGTATGTCAGTATATGGTTGATAGATAGATTTATTTGGCACAACATAATAAATCAAATCATAAATCATTATTTTAGAACTAATTTAATTAGGAGCCCCTTTAACATTAGGGCTCCCATCTGCAGCCTGGTCAGATCAGACCTCATTTATTCCGAGCCTGGTGGAATTGGATTGAATGTTGGATCACGAAATAAAATAAAAAATCTCTAAAAATACTGCACACTTTTTAAAATCGAAATCAGAGAAAATTGGAAACCAGCCACCATCAGTCAATCACCAGCAGCCTTAACTTGTTTCCTGTCCTACTGAGAGTCAATGAGCAAGGAGGATTGATCGATGGTGCATGTATATACATGTATACATTGAGCGTGATTGGTTTATAGCACTTTTACAGAGCAAGGGGCACATTTAAAATATGTGCAGAATAGATAACAGAATCCAAATATCTTAAATAATGTCACTATTTTCCATTTCTACTCTCCGGTCATAATTGTAAACTATCTGGGACCATTTAATGACTGAAAATGTTAGCTGTTAAAAAGACAAACTCCACTTTTAGTTATTATAGGGTTTATGCCAATTTGGATGTATGCTAAACATGAAAACAAACCCGAACCAGGCTCAAGTACGCTGTGTTTTTTTTTTTGCGACTCCATAACAGTCGCCTCAAAACTTCAAGTCACAATTTCTCTGCAAAAGCTGGATGATATATATCATGCATTAAAATTATTTCATCTACGTTGTACATTACAGGACAGATTTCTATATTACGATGACATCAGAAAAGGATAAAATGGGATTTCCTCCTGGTGCACAAGTTAAACTACTTTTACAGGTACCGGTAGCTAAATATTTTCTTGATATTGTTTCACTGGAAATCAGGTTGCAGTTTTTCAGGTGTCAGTGGGTCCCCTCAGTTTGGTCAGCCACTAATCTGTGCCATCCTCCCGTAAGTTACCCTAAAATATTCTGTTATAATGCAAGTGTGGACATTTGTCAGACATAAATTATCACACAACGTATATACTGTTATAAAAACGTGTGATAATTTGTGTCTGACAAATTCTGTGACAGGTGCATTCTGTCCCGGCTTGGTTATACATGTATGTAGTATTGTATTTTTAAAATGATTTTATATAAGAATGAGTGCAATCAACATATAATTATTGTTTATGTTAATTTTCAGGCACATAAACATTATGAAAAGTTAGCTGCAGAAAGAGAGAAAAGGAAAAACGTATCCAAAAAAGAAAAAAAAGGTAGACCTACAGTATAATGTTAACGAAGTCATCTTAATTTTTTAACCATATTTCATTTGTACAGATTGTTATTTATGTGAACTTCCCTAATAATTGACCAGAAGCACACCCAGCATCATGCATGATACCTGTAAACACCACTGAGTGACTTTACAACATAATAATATAGTACATGTAGTTACCTTTAACAGGGATTCAAAATGAATTGTAGCTTAAATCGTTTTTAAAAAAATGAGATGTCTGTGATTTTGAAAATTTACTTTTATTTCATAGATAAACCTGCTGCCACATCTGAATCAGAAAAAGAAACAACAGTCAAAAGTACTACAGTAGAAAATCCAGCTACTTCATCATTAGATACAGACATTGACATGAAAACTGAAATAAACCAACAAGAAATTGTTCAGTCTGAATCAAAAACATCATCGGAAAATGTTCCTACACAATCTAAATCTGAAAATGTTCCTTCACAATCTAAATCTGAAAATGTTCCTTCACAATCTAAAACTGAAAATGAAAAATGTTCAGACACAAATGAAGAAGATGATCCTGAAGTTATCAGGTAAAATCCTTTTCTTTCTACCAGTAGTTCAAGATATGGTATATCTGCTCACATGTTTGCCATACATGTCTCTTGCAGTGCATGTTATAAGATTTGTATGAAGATGTTGGGTCAAAGAGTTATCAAATTCATTGAAACTTTGAAGAAATCATGAGTATTAATTATGTATATTTACAGACAACAGCAGATATTTCAGGCTAACCCAGAAAGTTATAATGGTGCTGTTCGAGAGAATTATTCATGGTCTCAGAGTATTACTGATGTTGACGTTAGAGTCAATGTAAGTACAGTCACTAAATAAACGGTTGGGTTTTATTTAAAAAGTTATAACCATTTAAACATAAATAAAAAATAGACTGAAAAGGTAAACTACAAGTAGTCATCACACAGATATTTTTAGTGTAAAATAAGTTACATGCCCTTGGTTTGAAATTAATCCCTAAACCAGTCTGCAGACCATTCTTCTGGCTGATTAACAGGCCAGAATGATCAAGACTATTGATAACCATTCAATTTCAATATCATTTACTCCATTTTAGGTTCCAAAGACGATTTGTAAAGGTAATCAAGTGCATGTAGTTACAGATAAAAAACATTTAAAAGTTGGTTATAAAGATTGCAATGGTGATATACAGATTGTTGTTGATAATGATTTAACTTGGGAGATTCATAAAGAAGAGTCTATATGGAGTTTAGTACCAGGAGAACATGTGCATGTAGGTTTCATTAGATTCATTTAGGTTGTTGAGGCCATCTGGTGGTTCAACAAGCAAACTGTTTAAAGTCATTTGGAAGTCTTGATCGTTCCAACCATGTACAATATCTATTGATTGGAAAAACAAAATCGATTTGTGCATGTACAATATCCAAACGTCACCTGGTAAATGTAATTCATGCGTTCGTCTAGTCCCAGTGACCACACCAGTTTCAAATTGCAGTCTATTTCTGACACAGCGCATGATAGTATTCCTATGTAGCCCCCACCCCCACCCCCTGAAAGAAAAGAATTGCGATGATGTTCTAAATAAATAGATACATGTTTTTTTTTTACTTTCATTAATGTTAAAATACTAGATCTTAAAACTGTTTTTGTTTTGGCTATTTTTAGATCAATCTAGAAAAAAAACAAGAAAGGTGGTGGGAGGGATTATTTGTGAATGAACCTAAAATAAATGTGAGAAAAATAGATTGTAGTCGACCCATGACAGAATTAGATGATGAAGCCCAAGCTAAAATAGGTGAAATGATGTTCAATGAACAACAGAAACGACTTGGATTACCGCAATCACATGAACAGGTAAAATACTAACATATTATAAAAGCTGCTGTTTGTGATTTGCATTTTTTGGGCAATACCTAATTATCCGCTGCTTAATCCTGAATAAAATGTACTGTTAATGATATTTTAACATTTAATTAAGAAAACAAAACCAAAATATCAACAGTATATAATCTTCCAACTGGGATTAAATTGTATATAAAAGAATCACCTTATACATGTAGGTGGTGCTACTGGTTTATATTGTGTGCAGAAGATGATGAATGTCGCAAAAAGTTCAATTCGTCATATTTTGTAATGGAATTGAACAACTTTTGGACTGATATCCTGTTGAGAGATCCAACTGTCACAAAATTTCTTTGCAAGGAGTTCAAAGTCTCTCATATGACAACCTCCGGCTTTTGTAAGATCCCATTGCATCCTTCTGCTTATACATGTACTTTAGTATTAACCAATTATCTGTAAGTAAAGAAACTGATTTTCTGGTATATGAAATCATTTGAGATTGATCCACCATTATTTACTATTTTGAAAAAAAAAGTTGTGTATAATTCTAGAAATTCAGTTAAATCTAATACCGTTTATCATTTTTCTTTGTAGAAAACTTATGACATGATGAAGCAAGCCTGGGATGCAGAAGGTTCTCCATTTAAAGGACAGCCATTTGATCCATCAAAATTTAATGTGAATTCTGGTGGTGTTGTTTCTATTAATGACTGAATCATTTACATGCTTTATTTGAAGTGACATATTGTTATAGCCTACGTTACTCATGGCAAACATTGAAACTTTTTAATTCCGATGGGATAATTCATATGTTACATATTAAAGCTTACATTATTATATGTTTAAAAACTGTTAAAAATTTCACGATGTTTGTGAGATAGCTTACTTTTAAAAGATTTATACAAGTATATGAACATATATATGGATGTACTAATATTGTTACAAAGGCTATATATGGTTTCATCTTTGCAGTTTAAAGGTATTACGACATACATCCTCCTACCTTTACTGTATTGACTGACTCTGTATACACTGGAGTTAAAATATTTTTTAAACATGTATTAGATTTAAAAAAAAGATTATAAATGATTGAATCAATATCCGTATGCAAAGATTTGTATCAGTTATTGTGATTGGGGCTATTAGTATATTAGTGTATACAAAAATGTTGGCTTATACAGTTAAGGTATCCAGCATGCCTTAACACCATGCAGTCTGCAGTTTAATTATTTTGGAAAGATTTGTTGTCTTTGAGGAAGAGGAGACATTGTTACATTTTAATAAAAGTTCCATTTAATACATATATCTTGGAAGTTGTTAGAAATCAGTTTCAGCATCTTATTTGTTTAATATACCAGTTTTATTTGTTTACAGAAGCCTTGAACATTAATGAAAATGTGATGGGATTGGGGACCACATGTAATTTCATTCACAAGAACTTCACTATACATTTTTACAATGTTTGTCTCACGAAAATGTTACCTGGAGAAACAGAGTGTCTCTAGCTTTATATGATCCTCCAATTAAAGACATATTCCTTTGAAAATTGGGACTGTAATTATGTTACTATCTCCTTAGAAAATAAGTTTTATTGTCAAAAATTCAAAAGCTGGGAGGAGTGATATTTTAAAATAACTCATTTTTTATAATTGTGGGCAGACAACACTACTTTTTGTTAATATTATATGCAGACACGTAAGATTATGCAGTCTTTAATGTTTACTAACCTCCAGTATGTCTCTGATATCTTTAATGCTTCTAAAAGATGCCATTTTACTGGTTGAAGACAGGCCATAATGAAATGGTGTTTAATTTAATGTCTTACCTTTCTGCACTAACCGGACAAATGAAGATGGGCAATTGTCATGTAGTGTGCTATGAGGAGAAATTTTGCCTGAACATCAGCATTTCCACTTACCCTTTATTGAAACCTAACCATCAAGGGTTGTTTACATGCACGGCAATGTGTAGGCTACCATCCGAACAACTGGACACTATTCCTTGGTCATAGCTTCATTTATTTTTATAGTTCAGTAATCTAATTATTTTGATTTACAAATGATGATAGAGAAGTAACCTTACAGTTATTTGAACATTGTATAAGTGATATGAACAAAGGTAAGTAATTTAAGTCTGAATCCAAGCTGGGAGGTTATCTAGTGTTGGTATTTTGATGGGCTATTTGCAATTTTTGCTAAAATATCAAAATCCTCATGGCTTAATCCAGTCATATATGTACTCAGATTGATTATTTAACATTTGGTTAAAGGCTCAATACCACTCTTGTTGTAACTGAATAATATGTCCCAATCTTTATTCTGGTCAACAAATTGTACTATTTTACAGTATTACAATTAATTGATGATACAAATTTCATCTTAACACACCTAATTTAAAAAATTGGAAAAATTCAACTAAATGATTTGAAAAGCCTAACGTAAACCTTTTCAAATGTGACTTGGATTTAAAAATATTTTCGAACCCTCTGGACAAGTAAAATAGGATGTAATGGATAATTTACACAACAGGTAGGACACTTAAACATCTAATACTTAGAATAAGGCTAATATTTATTTACTGGAGCTGCCAAGCCAGCAAGAGTGTTATTGTCCCTTTAAGAAACAAAATCAAAATAAAAACGCTAGATAATGTCCGGGCTTGGATTCAATCAGATTTAAAAAAGGCCTATCAATAAATTTTTGTGTGGTCAACAAAATGCCCGCAAGCTTATTGCATAGCAATCAGCATAAATCAATAAAATAATGAACAGAATTGAACCATTTTGGACTGATATTCTTATTCATCTTTCACAATATTGTAGTTTGCAACTGCTTCTATAGTGCTAAAATGATGCATCATGACTTTAGTGAAATATTAAATAATCAATCTCAGTACACATTAGTGTGGATTAAGCCGTGAGAAATAAGATATTTTAGCAAAAAATGCCAATTGCCCAAGAAATGCCCTAAATATAAAATTGAATTTAATGGTGAGACAATTATTAGTCTCCATCCTAATGCCTGTCGAGAGAAGTTGTCTCCCTTGTATATATTAAATAGAGTTACCTCTCTTCCAATGGCAGAAGAAGAAACCAAAGTTTTGTCTGATGTACATATTTATGCACAATACCAAATAACAGATAATTGTCATGTAAAAGTAAATGCAGGTAACAATGCCTGAAGGTTATTTATAATCTATCAGATATCTAGCAATACCTAGAAGCTCAGATAATCCCTAGATGTGACCATTTGAATTACCGGTATTGAAATATGAAATATCTGAAACCTAGCTACGAGAACGTAGCTAAAAACGTTGAGATATACTGGTGTGTTTGTTTTTAGCTACGATTGGATGCCTTTAGTTCCAAGTGGCAAACTCAATTTCTTTATTAATGCATGTAACATCTTTAAAATAAACAAGTTTATGATATTATGATTAATTAAAGTAGCTAAGTCTCTAACTCGATATCATCCAAAATCTTCAACATTGAAAACACGATTTATTTGTCAAATTAAATCAACATTGATGTTGTGATCTTACCGGAAAAAGATGGGCTTTTGATATCCAATATGTAAGACAAAATAAACATTTTACCATTGGTACACGAATCGTGTACCATAATGCGCTTCAGCCCCAGTTGTAACAAGAGACTCGAGGGACGAGGCTAGACACATTGCACCAAATCAAAAGCCGTATGTAGACAGGAATAACCAGACGCTAAGAATTTGCACTAGATTGAGACTGCTGGCTTATTTCACTGAACATAACTGATTTTAAATTGGAGTAAAAACGGAAACCATTGAATGTAAATCAGTTTATATACATTCATATTACAGTATTCCACTTTTCTCAATTTCTAGGTCCCAAATGTTAGCGATTTAGCTCCTTTAAACTTACAGAGCCAATGTAGTGGCACAACTGTCGCCTAACTCCAAATATTTGCGTTTAAATTAATGAAGCGTTGTTTTTGTCTGACATTTCACCGCCATCGAAATCCATTCATAGTTACTGTGCTTTCGATTGTCCTTTTGATTGGCTGTTATAAAAGCCTTATATTTAGCCCCGCCTTCATGATGACAGCGTATCGTTTAAAAAGATGGCGGTCTTAGTATCGGCTTAACGCCTCGATTTTAAAAACAACGATTTGTACCCGTTTCAGGTAGGATTATATGCTTAATTGTAGTTGGGTGTTGTAGAAATATTATAAATAACAATAATCAATAGTTGTTTTGATTAAAACTATTGTCAATTTTGTTTTAAAATGCCGGGTGTGAATTGCTCCCGCAGCTGCAACGTTATAGGTCATGGCCTATAGGAAATGGGGTTTAGCGTCCACTTGATCGACACAAACAGGTCATTTTGGGACTAACACATGGTTCAATTTTTATGACAATAATTTGCTTGCGCCCAGCGGTCTTTAGCAGTGGGAGGAAACCACAGGACCTGGAGAAAACCCACAAGGTTGGACAGGCGACCCTACTCCTTGTCACGTACAACCGGGGAATCGAAACTCTGCCAGTTGACTCAATGACAGACCGTATGATACAGCGCGCAAATGCTAACCATTCGGCCATCCAACCCCACCACAACGAAACAAAGAAATGCATGCTGATAATACGAGAAGACGTCAATTTTAAATGTCATTTAAAGACATGTCTTCTATTCACTTAATTCATTAAATATTCGCTTATGTGTTTCTTTTTTTTTGTATGAACATAATAATCGTCATATTCATCATTGATTTTTTATGTCTTGTTTTATTTGAGTCAGACATATTGTTTGATTTAAACTATTATTTCATTGATCTTTAGTTTGTATTTATGGTTCTTCATTCATCAAGTGATAAACAAAATGAGTTTGCACGGGGAAACTGAGTGATTCCCGCTGGATTTCTTAGGATAACATATCAGTAAATAGCATGGTATATTAGAGGTCCTTATTAATTAATGTATGAAGTTATAAAATAGCTTCGCGCCCAATCATCCGATTATGATTTCCTGTCTGACTACTGTATATATGTCTTCTTTAAATTGCAGTTTCTAGATTTCTATTCAAGCTTCCTGAGAATGATGTAGATGATGTGGGTGTTATTTCTAAAGGTATAATTTACTACCAGTATTTATTTTCCATATTTAAATCAGTGTAATGTTAAAATGTGAAGAAATAATTAACCAGTTAGTAAAATATTCATAAAGTGTGGTATCAAGAATTGATAAAAATGAATAGGCCTATATTTGTGAATATTATGATATTCTTGGTTTTGATAGGTAAAGAACCAATTAATTGTAAAGATGCGGATGGTGATTTTATTGTTCGGAGAAAACCTGTTGATAACTTGACTGATCAAAGAGAGGTCATTACTATCTGTAAGTTCAGATCTATTTTATTTTCATTGGAATTGATCCTGACGTGCACAAGGTGAATCTATAACCATATTCTCCCCAATATTTTCTCGCTCTCTCTCTCTCTCCCTCCCTCTCCCTCCCCCTCTGCACATTGCAATTGCATTAGTAACCATTGAATTGACAATGACCATAATAATATATTAGTTTCAAATTGACCAAAATATTGTTTTGACGCAAGACGTACAACCTCATTCCAGTTTATTCTACACTGATAAATGTGCTTGTATGTAAAACTATTTTTCAGATCATGGTCTCGAGACAGAATTAAAAGATGTAGGTCTGCAGGTTTGTAATACAGAGCTATTTATCTTAAACAAGTACGAAGGTACTGTGGACTAGGAACCAAGCATAATGTCCTCTATCTATGCCATCTTGGTCTGTCATTGAGTCAAGTGGCGTGGTTTTGATTCCCATCTTGCATTTGACAAGGAGTATGGTCGCCTGTCCAGCTTTGTTGGTTTTCTCCAGGTCCTCTGGTTTCCTCCCACTGCTAAAGACCCTTACGCGATGTTAAACCCCATTTCTCTCTCACGCCATCTTGGAATCGCGACATCAATAAATGCACATTTGTCCAAGCAACAAACATGCGAAGTGTCATGTCAATTGACAGAGCCGCCCCCAAGAACAACAAGATGGTCCCAAAATCTTCTCACATTATATATTTAGGATAATATCTAAATGACCTGTATTGAAAATATTCAGTATGTGTAAGAAAATGTAATGATTGCTGATCTTTTGTTTATAACAGGTTTGGAATGGATGTTTGTTAATGTGTGATTTTATTCTGCATGGTAATCTAAGCTGGAAAAATCAGACTATTCTTGATTTAGGTGCTGGTGTTGGATTAACCAGTATTTTGTCTGCTATATTTGCTGATAAAGTTTATTCTACAGGTAAAATGAACATTTATTTGAGACTTCCCCCCAATTTTTTTTCTCATCTAGGTAGGGTTACTGTTCTAGGGTGGGTGGGCCAGTGGGATTTAGTTTTAATGATGTTGATGAGATTGAGAGATAATTTTAATTTTTTTTTTTTTTTGGTTTTTGATAATTTAGATACAGGAAATGATGTTTTGGATATAGCAAGAACCAATGTTGAAGTGAATGCCCATTTATTGAGAAATGGTGGCCATTCTGTAGAAGTAAGAGAAATCGATTGGATCAAATGTGGTAGGAATGAGAAATATAATTATTATTCAGCCATTGTATACTTTGTTCAATAATGTTTTTTGTAAATGAAGTGAAATGGGATGTAGAGTCTTACTTTGTTGCACCAACCAGGCTAATGATGTTTCGAAGCTGAAATGTTTTAGTGAATGGGTCAAATTTGTTGTTTTAGTGTGTCAAAATGAACTGTTTTTGTGTTTTTTTACCCTTTGCAATTGACAATGCTCGTTTTGATTCCATCAGTTTATAGAATCATTCCATGTCAAGTGGGCCAGGGGTGGTAAATCAACCCCCTTGAAAAAATCTGGAAAAAATGTTATTGTACATGTAAAAACTAGAAACTGCAAAATTTGTTATCTGTAGCTTGAAAATTGACTGAGATACAGGCATTTGAGTTTTATGAGTTGCCCATAAGTTTTCGAAAGAAAATTTGTATCAATAATTTACTTGAGTTTCAGGTATCTTACCTTTCTAGAGAAGATATAGGGCTCATATTTGGCAGTCTTTAAAGAACTTTTTGTGTAGATTGCGGGGAATTTGCAATCAGATTACAGATGATAGATCGATTCTAGTAGCTATTAGAATAGTGAAATAGGTGGACCATCTCCATTAATTAACCTGAGACATATACTATATAGGAGGTAGAAATTTATCTGCTGATAGTTGTTTAATATTAAGAATGAATGCAGTACAATGACCAGAAATATAAAATAATTTTATTTTAGGTAAAGAAAATGGTATTTATACATTTACTTCTGAAGAGCTGGAGAAAATAAACTTTGTGTTTGCTGCTGAAGGTACAATTATTAATTATTTTTATAAACTAATATTATTATGTAAAATTATAAAGAATTTTCATGCAATCTTCGCATATTATGTATAACCTATGACTATAGATAATATTGTTAAATAATTTTAAAAGGAACCCTTGACACTTAGAATTCAAGGAAGAGTCATTGCTTGGCGTAAGCTCTTCTTCAAAGTAAGACCTTATATCCCATTTCATGTATGGGGGAAGTAGGATCAACTTTCTAACCATTTCACTCTGTACTTCCACTTTCCTCAAAGTTTAAAACATTCTGGCACAAAAGTAAATTATTGAAATAAAAATATAAGAAGTGTTAGTGTTAAAATGACCTAGATAGGGTTGTATAGATGTCGATCTCAATTTCTCTCTTATGATATTATTACCATTGGTTGAATGTAATAAATTTATTTTCCCAGTGATTTATGACATTGATTTAACGGAAGCTTTCTTCACTACCATAGAAATCATTTTACAGAAAGTACCTAAAACAGTCTATATAGCTTTAGAAAAAAGGTAACGTTTAAACAATATTGTTCTTGTAAGGTTTAAACAATATCATTGTTCTTGTAAGGTTTAAACAAGATAGTTCAGTTTGAATAATATTATTATTGGTTGAATAATATTTTTATTGTACAGGTTAAATAATATTATTGTTCTTGTAAGTTTGAAACGATTGATCTTGTTCAGTTTAAGTAAAGTTATTTTTAATCTAGTTTGGTTTAAACAATATTATTATTGTTGTACAGCTTAGATAATATTGTTGTTCATGCAGTTTATCTTAAATTTACTTTGTTAATCCCTCATATTGTGAATGAATATTTATTATTAGGATTATTTCAAGGTTTATAGAGCAACCTCCCACAATGTCAAATTTAGACTTATAAGTAGGGATTATTATATTTTTGGTACATTTATTATTTTCAGACTGGTATTTACTTTGGAAGATTTGGATGTAGTAAGCCCAGCTTATTCCCATTTTAAACAATGTTTAAAACGTCTTGTAGATCGTCATGAATCCAACCTTCTTATAGAACATTCTCAAATACCCTGTGACTTTCCACAGTACTTTGACTACCACAGAGTAAAAGAACTGGTAAGTTGTTGCTGCCCAACGTCTATGGAGCCAAGTGCTTTTGAACCAGGGCTGGGGCCATTACATTGCCAATGTAATTAATTACATTACCATTTAAATGTAATCATTACAATTACTTTCTCATTTTTAGCAATGTAATTAATTACCATTACCCATTACATTGAAAGTAATTAATTACCATTACCCATTACTTTATGACTATATAAATAAAAAACATTTTTCATAGAAATTAAAAAGACAACCTTATTTTTCTGCCATGAAGCGCCTACAAAATCAAACTCAAAATAGTCTTTGTTTCACTTAAAAGATATTTGTTTATGAATTGTCATTTCTAGCAACTATAACATCAAGGCAGATTTTATAGTGATGGGCAGTGGTGTTAAAAACTGACATTTTCACTGTATGACTTGAAAAATGAATCAAAAGAATAGTTAATTAACTGTATTTTCTTTTAAGTAATTTAAAATTCTTTTAATCAACCCAAATAGTTTGTCTATAATATATTGTATAATAACTGGTAAATTATTCAGTAGATACTAAAACAAATTATATATATTAGTTTTAAGTAACCATAAAATGATGAGATACTTGAAGGTCATTGTTTGGTTTGTCACTTGTTACCTAGAGATTAAGATTAAAGTGTAGTAAGACTATTTATTGTCTTTTAATCTAACTGTTTGATTGATTGATTGAGTGATTGGCTGTAAATTAGTACTAATCTTTGATTACAATATACATCATTTCAGAAATCCTTTTTTTATGTTACATGTCTTAAAAAAGGGTCCTACATAAAAGAAAATGTTTAATGCCTTCTTATTCTTCTTATAATTTGTTAAATCTAATTTAAATCTTTTTTAAAAAATATAATGAATTGGATTTGTGTCAGATACACTTAATTATTTCTTTGGTGCTATAAAATTTGAGGCTTGTCATATTGGAAATATTATATTTATATGTGCCATAAAATGTAATTGAAAAGTAATTGAAATGTAATTGACCATTACATGATTTTTGGAATGTAATTAATTACATTTCCATTACTCATTACTTTTGAAATCTTCCATTACTCATTACATGGCCATTACTTAAAAAATGTAATGATTACATTCCATTACCCATTACCATGTTTTGAACAATTCTGGATATCAGCAACAGTTGGTTGAAATCCAATGACAAGTGTTGCAGCCAGACAAAATAAGAAAGAACCAAAGACCGATTGATATATTATGCCATCTATTTAATAATGCTCAATGGTTGTAAAATACAAATCAACGAAAATATGAGAAAAAGTCCATTACTGTACTTTTGTTTTATTTTGATTGCAGGAGTTATGGGAAATCACATCTAAAGTTTTCAGTGGTTGAAAATAGAACAAGAGTCCATACCAAAGAACTCTAATCTTTCACTAGAAAATATCTTGGATCAGATTTAATGACTGATCTGTTCAAGGCAGAAGAAAAGCATTTTTGAAAACTTGCATGGAGGAGCAGGGCCTTATATAATGGAGTCTGGCCAATAAAATGGCATTTTTTGTCTCATCTGGTGATATGCAATTACAGATTCTTAGCACAGTTCATTCCATTCATTATTTGTTCTAATGTTGATCTGGAAGCCACAGTTGGTCAGGCTCTAGGGAAGAGTTTTTATGAAGACAAAAAAAAAAGTCAATTCTAAAACCATATTTATTCAAGACAATAATTCTAAGCATGATAAAACAAATAACGATAAGTATATAACTTCAAACAATGTCAAAATATTATATATCTGATTATATACAGTTTACAAAATGATGAGATTGCCTTTATAATAATATAATACAAAGGATATAAAAAAATTTGTACAAAACTAGTAATGGCTATGTTTTAAATTCCCTGATGTAATTTGGTCTTAACACAACACGTTTCAGCCATAACCGAATGCTGCGATTTGTTGCCATTTGAATGATGTCAAAATTTGAAATACAATGATATTGGTCAATAATAAGGGAACATTTACATAATAATCAATTTGAAAGAATAATAATTAACAAGTTATATACAATTTTTTTTATCTTATTGCTACAAGGTAAACAAATATTAATAGGTTTTGTGTGCAAGATACTACTAACAGACAGTTTATATAATAAGCGTGACATATCTTCTATAATGCACATCTATAATAAATATAAAACATTATTTAGTCCATATTTTAACTTTATTAAAATAAATAGTTTTACCCATGTACAATAAGCTTACATTCTACATGTTCTGTGCAAAATCGGACAAGGATCCAGCGAATCGAAAGCTGATCAGTTTTAACCTACACCATTACATTTCTTTTTATAATTCAGTACATTTGTGGATCTGCCGAGGATTCATAGAGCATGAAGTATGTATTGAGATCTACAGGCATGTATTAACCTATGTAACCAAATAAAGGAAATCTAAAATATCTATGAATCTGTTTCTCTATTTTTGAAACCCTACAATTATACCTTATTCAAATGCTAAACTTAATTTTCTAAGCATTTACAATTCTGCATATATAAATTTTACTAAAATGAAATTTGTATTTATTTACCTGTAAGATAAAGATTACATACAGGTAATAATGTTTATTATAGACACATCTGGTACATGTGACCTTATCAAAATAATTAACAATAAAACATTAAATATGATCGGTGATATTAATACCTTGAATAACAACCTTGGTGAGAACAATTATGATGAAATGCCAAATATGTAAACACACAGAATGTACAATGGTAAATTTATTGAGTGGAAAAACCCAATATCCCTAAATTCACAACTTTCCTTCTTCCAGGTAATTTCTAAATGTAAATTGTCTTTAAATACAATGTAAACAATTTTGAAAATATAGTAATATTAAGGCAATTCCTCTTTTCTTCTTCGCTGCAATAATGTTTTAAATCAATTATGTTTCCAAATGTTATTTAACTTTTGCAAAGCTGCCCTTGGATTCATAGAATAATTACAGAAAAAACATAACATTTATATCTAAATATCCTTAAACACTGAATAATTTGACAATAAAACTTGTAATTTGGTCAATGGCAACTCTAAAACGAATCCCTTAATCTAAATAGGAACTCAATATGGAAGGATCAATCAACAATGTACACAAATACTGGTGAGGATATGAGAAGTATATTCTTACAGTGAGCAGTATATAAAAATGTGCATCTGTATAAATTATCAGGAACAAAATCAAGTCATGCCTCACTCCCAAACAACACTTTAAGACAAAACCATCTCTTTAAGATTATTACACATTATTTGATCACTATGGTAACTTTTTTTTTTTTAAAATGTCACGAGGATTTCATTTCTAGCTCTTCTTTCATCATTTCTAACTGACTAACACATCTTTGTACATTTTCTGGCTTGATGAGACTAAAGTCAAACATGTTCACTAAATGTATTGTAAAATTACGACACAATTTTTTATCTATAATTTCCTTTCCGTGAGCTTCAACAAAAGAGCTGCATGCTTGTGAAATCTGACAATCTGCAATATATCTGTAAGAGAAATAATCAAATATTACATAAAGGCTAATGGTGACCAGTTAAATATGAAAGGTGCAAGACAAGCACCCTTTAATAGGAATGTCTTCATGCAATGCTTTATCTTGTGTACATGTACAGTTGAGTCAAGGGCAATGGACATGATTAGAATATCAGGGATAGCATCTGCAGGCATGACAACGAAAGTGATGACTAGTGGTTAAAAAAACCCCAAAAAACAGTCCACCTGTGTACACATCTGGAGTGCAAAAAAAACCCTTGCCATTTGGGTAGGCAAAAAAGTTGCTGTCAGCCTGAATTCTCCTCCTCAGCATTGCAGGTTTCCAAAGAAAAGTCTCAAAATGACCAAAGTATGTTGACATACTTTTGTGTGTTCCCCTATGCAATGATTAGTTTATTAAAGGTCATGGAATCCATCAAAGGCTTTAGCATCCAATCTCAGTTATAAAAACAAGGATTTGGAAATGTATTTTAGATTTATCAACTCTTGACAGTTTGTCAGCCAATAACACACATACAGACCAATAATAAATCTTAATCAATAATTGGTAGTGAGAGAGAGAGAAATGGGGTTTAATGTTCACTCGACACAAACTAGGTCATTTTGGGACTAACGTATCGTTTAATTTTATTTCAATAATTCGCTTGCGCGTAGGGGTCTTTAGCAGTGGGGGGAAACCGTAGGACCCGGAGAAAACCCACGAGGTTGGACAGGCAACCCTACTCCTTGTCGCGTACAACCGGGGAATCGAAACCATGCCCGTTGACTCAATGACAGACTTTATGATACAGAGTGCAAATAATTGGTAGTTTGAGACTGCTTATTTTAAATGGATATGCTTGACATGACACATTGTCCGTGTCTGTTATGGAAACACACATGAAGAATCCTGAGGTTTCTCGCTGCCCATCTGGTACCATGACCGATACATTTTAGTCCAGAGCTCACAAGGTTACAACAATAGAATGTCATTATATTAGAACTCTATTACAGGCCTGTTTTCTGGCTTCAAATGTTACATAAATTATTTAAACATTTATTCACAGGACAAACCCATAATCAACTTGCTAGTTCATCGGATGGCTAAGATATTAAGTGGATTAGATAATGGCCACTATTTCTTTGTTAAAGATCTTATAGAGGCATTTAGTAACTGGTTAGAGCAATAGACTATAACACATACTTATGGAAGAACAATTAATGTCTAATTAATAATTTAGATAAAATTTCAGGCCTAAAGAAAGATCTCAAATTGGCAGATTTAGCTCTTGCATAATGTATGTTTAATTTCTTCATTTTAACTATAAATACATCAATTTTCCTTACTGATTTCTCATTATGTGTAAATTCCACATTTTCATGAGTTCTTTTTCACCTTCATTGACATCAGTGAATTCATCTATCATCTGTTTAAAATAAAAGGCATTATTATTTATAGTCAAAAACTATACTTAACATGTTCTCATACTTCTGAATTTGTTGAGATGTTATTTCTTAATATATTTTATTGCATACTTTTTAAGGCCGTCCAGAGTGGATTAAGTATTTACAAAGATATGATAAGCTAGCATCCACCAATAAGTGTTGAGTAAAACGTTTTGTTGGGTGTCCGTGATCTAAGTATGTCCATTCCAAATTAAGAATAATAATCGGTGGTCTTGTTCCACATTGTATTGTTAGAGTTATCTGCAGTTGTTTTTTGTATTACCTCAAAAAATGGTTGAATAATAAAGTCAAGATTGCTTGAAAGAGAGCCGTGTCAAAATGAACCATCGCATCCAAAGTCCAATACCCTACATGGTCACGATGAGACGGATATCCAAGTAAGACGATACAGTCCAAGAAAACTGATTAATTTGTGTCATATATACTTCAAAAAGTAAGTGAAAATTCGGCGCGAAAAAAAATGGCGACAGGCATGCAATCTCAACCGCCACGGAGCCCGTTGGCAACTGGCCAAAATTTAACTTCAAGGCAAGGACACTATCCATCCATGGAATTAAGTAGATTAAAAAGGATTCGCGGAAGTCATAGAGCAATGTCCAAACGACTAAATTCTGCAGTAGAAGAATTACTTGAATCGGGTTTACGAGGTCCAGAATTAGTGGAAAGGTCCGAACAACTAAAATTTGCAATTGAAGAGAAAATACGTAAGTTAGAAGATTTTGATGATCAAATCATTTCCAAAATCGAGGAAGAACTTATTCCAGAAGAAGTAGAGGCCTCGGACAACTACAGGGAACTATTACAATTAGCTTTGATTCGAATACAGTCAAACCTCTCAAATAAGGCCATGTCAACAATACCGTCAAACCTTGTTAATGCATCCAGTCAAGAAAATGATGCCATAGAGTCAGGAAATCAAGATTTAAGGCCGAACATGTCCACAACCACACCCCAACAGCAAGCTGCTACTGCTGATGCAAGGGTAGTCCATCTTAATCTTCCAAAATTGGACCTTGTCAAATTCAGCGGAGATTTAAGTCAATGGAACACCTTTTGGGATGCATTTGACGCATCAATTAACTCAAATGGAGATTTGGCAGCCGTAGAGAAATTTAATTACCTCAATTCATTATTAGAAGGCACGGCTAGGGAGAGCATAAGAGGGTTATCACTAACGTCTGCAAACTACCAGGAAGCTGTAAGCATTTTAAAAAAGAGATTTGGAAATAAACAGATGATTATAAATCGTCATATGGAGATTCTGCTGAATTTTGAGACTATCAGCTCTGGTTATAATTTGAAGGGAATTCGTCAACTCTATGATAGTGTAGAAGCTCAAGTTCGAAGTTTAAAATCTTTAGGTGTTCCATCCAGCTCCTACGGCAATCTCCTTGCAAGTGTATTGATGAATAAAATTCCGTCCGAGTTGAGATTAATAGTCAGCAGAGAGATGGGTGACAGTGATTGGGAACTAGATCGACTACTACAATTTATTTGTACAGAACTGGAGGCGAGAGAGAGGGCTTTAGACTTAAGTAGACAGTCCAACCACATATCCACCACAACTTCACGACCTGTATCAGCTTCAGCAAGATTTAGAAACCAAACTACTGCTTCAGCCTTATTGACAACTGATAGTAATAGATTATCGTGTACTTATTGTCACCAACCACATCCATCCAATAAGTGTACCAATGTTACAAGTATTGAAGCAAGACGCAGTATACTAAGGAGGGATAAACGTTGTTATGTTTGCCTCAGAAAGGATCACATGAGTTACAATTGCGACCCAAATAAAAGATGTCCACGTTGTCAAGAGCATCATCATATTAGTATTTGTGAAGCCAGAGGTCCAAATGTGCCAATCAACAATAAGCATTCTCTGCACCAAAGATATTCCCAACCCTCGCCATCATATTATCAGCAATCAAGATTTCCAGCCTTTGGCAGTCAAGTTAGATGTCCAGTTTCTCAACAAACACTATCTCACAGATTCCAGAATAATCAGCCAGCTCAACCATCACAAAGATTCCAGTTAAACAGAAATACTGAAGGTTCAACATGGTTTCAGGGAAATCAAGGAAATTTTCATGGTCAGGTGGAAACAACACAGAGTTCATTGTCGATGTTTGTTAATTCGTCAACAGCAATATTGTTACCCACAGCAAGAGCTGTTGTATTTAATCCCACAATTTACAGTGCCAGATTAGAAGTTAGGATGATATTTGACAGTGGTAGTCAACGCACATATATAACCAGAGCCATTCAAGATTATCTTTGCTTGCCAGTTGTTGAACAGAGAACCTTTATGATCAAGACATTTGGATCAGCATTTAAGACTCCCCAGACTTTAGATGTTGTAAGCCTACACATTAAAACCAACAACGGAGATATCCGGATATTAGCAATAGTTGTTCCATTCATATGCGACAAATTATGTAACCAGTCTTTAGACAGAGCTCAAAATGGATTCCCTCATCTGAGAAATTTAAAATTTGCAGACTATAACGGAGATCAAAATGACCTGATGATAGATATGTTAATTGGTTCAGATGAATATTGGAATTTTGTAACCGGAGAAGTCGTACGGGGGGAGAGGGGCCCTACCGGTTTGAACACAATACTGGGATGGGTTTTATTTGGTCCGATGAGTCATACAACCAGAGACGAAAGCAGCTATTATCCAGAGATGATATCAACAAATTTTATTTCTTCGTCAGAAGCTGATCAGTCATTACAGGAAGATCTTGAGAAATTTTGGAACCTGGAATCGCTTGGTATAGAATCAAGATCTTTATTCGAACAGCACATCGAAAAAATTAAGTTCAAGAAGAACAGATATGAAGTGGAGCTTCCGTGGAAATCAGTTCATCCACGTCTACCTGATAATTTTGAATTGAGCCTGGGAAGATTGAAAAATTTATTGAGAAAATTGAAAAGAGAAAATTTACTTCAAGAGTATAATCAAGTCATGGTGGATCAGATTAATCAAGGGATAGTAGAGAAGGTAGAAGATCCAAGCCAAGGTCAACCAGGAAAGATTTATTTCGTGCCACATCACCCAGTAATTCGAAGAGATAAAACAACTACCAAATTACGTATTGTCTACGACGCTTCTTCTAAGCAGCAACCAGATTTGCCATCACTCAATGATTGTTTACTTGCTGGGCCACCACTTACAGAGAATATACTAGACATCCTGTTGAGATTTAGAGTTCATCGTATAGCCCTTGCAGGGGACATAGAAAAGGCCTTTTTAATGGTATCAGTAGCCCCAAAGGATAGAGATGTCCTGCGTTTTCTTTGGTTTGATAATCCTGAAGATGAGAATCCAAATTTTACGGTCTACAGATTTACCAGAGTAATGTTTGGGGTGTCTTCAAGCCCCTTTCTCCTTAATGCAACAGTCAGGTATCATATTGAACAGTTTATGGAATCCAATCCAGAATTCGTCAAGAATGTTTTGAGGTCTATATATGTTGATGACCTAAGCACTGGTTCGGATGATGTCGAAACCACCTATCAGCTTTATGAGGATGCGAAGGAAAGGTTCGCCACTGGTGGGTTCAATTTGAGAAAATTTGTCACCAATTCGTCCGAGCTAAGGGAGAGAATACAGGTAAATGAGTCAAGAATGCATCCAGGAAATCAGAACATCACTTCCTCTCCTATCCATGAAGAAGATGAAACATATACTAAGTTTATATTGGGAAATTCTACGTCAAATGAAGATCAGAAGATATTGGGAATCAAATGGAATTTCATTCAGGATAATTTCGTCATTGACTGGTCAGAAGTTCTTCAACTGGCTCAGAATATAGTTCCAACAAAGAGATTGGTGGTCAGCGTTTCGTCCAAATTCTATGATCCTATGGGTTTCCTGTCACCTTTTATAGTCCAGTTTAAACTGCTCTTTCAAGATTTATGTAAATGTGGAGTTAGATGGGATGATATATTGGAAGAAGAACACCTTTCTAAATGGAGAAGATTGATAGAATCAGCCAGAAACATGAAGCCAATTTTAGTCAGCAGATGTTATTTCCAGAATATTCAGGAACCAATTATTTCATGTCATCTCCATGGATACTGCGATTCATCGTCTAAAGCATACGCTGCCGTGGTTTACCTTAAGATAGTCACAACTACCTCAATCTATGTCCGCTTCCTGTCATCGAAAACCAGAATTGCTCCAATCAACTCGCAGACCATTCCAAGATTGGAACTTCTCTCAGCCTTAATCTTAGCCAGACTAGTCAACACCATCCAGAAGGCTTTAGAGTGTGAATTACAAATAGATGGTATACAATGCTGGACAGATTCAAAGGTTGCCTATTACTGGATTCGTCATGAAGAGAGAGAATGGAAGCAATTTATACAAAATAGAGTAGAGGAAATAAGAAAACTGGTGTCAGCCAGCTCATTTAATCATTGTCCAGGGTTACAGAATCCAGCGGATATTCCTTCCAGGGGAATGAACCCTTTCGAATTTGTCAATAATTCCCTGTGGATTAAGGGTCCAGAGTGGTTGATCAACTTTGAAGAATCTATGCCATATTCAAATGAGGATCTTGACCTACCTGAAGAATGTTTGATTGAAATGAAGGTCAAGGATAGAAATAACATTAAGTGTCAAGTGGAGTCTGTAATGGTAGCAGTCGAGAATTATGGTATCGCCAATGTTATTAGTTGTCAAGATTATAGTAATCTTCATCGTCTACTTAGAGTAACAGCAAATGTATTGAAGTTTGTCAATATTTTAAAGTCCAGATTTAACAAAGTTCCTGTCAATAAGTCATTTAGTCAGTATGTATTAGAAGGGCAGGCATTATGGATTAAGGAAGTTCAAGGCCAACTAGTCAATCATTCGAATTTTGAGACATGGAAACGACAACTAGATGTTTATGAAGACGATAAGGGTGTTCTAAGATGTAGAGGCAGACTGGGAAACTCACAACTTACCATTTCTTGCAAATTTCCTGCTCTGTTAGACCCCAGTCATTATTTTACAAGTCTAGTCGTCATCAGCTGCCATAAAAAGGTTTTACACAATGGTATTAAAGAAACGTTAACTGAGCTGAGATCAAACTATTGGATAATTCGGGGACGACAGTACGTCAGAAAACTTATTCATCAATGTGTAACCTGTCGAAAATATGAAGGTAAGCCGTATCAACCTCCATCAACGCCACCACTACCTGACTTCAGAGTTCAGAAATCGCCACCATTCGCCTATGTCGGAGTAGACTTTGCAGGTCCATTATTTGTCAAGACCAATGGTACAACAGAACAACACAAGGTGTGGCTATGTCTTTTCACCTGTTGTTCAACCCGTGCCGTCCATCTTGATGTTGTTCCAGATTTATTTACAACGTCGTTTTTACGATGTTTCCAGAGGTTGACAGCTAGAAGAGGTTATCCAGTACAAGTAATATCAGATAATGGGAAGACATTTAAGTCCGCAGCTAAGCTACTTCAAGATAAATTAGTTTGGTCATTTAATGTGGAGAAGGCCCCTTGGTGGGGAGGTATATTTGAAAGAATGATACAATCGGTGAAGAGATGCCTAAAGAAGACTATTGGTGGGGCAAAATTGAGTTACGATGAGTTAGTTACAGTGGTTATCGAGATAGAAGCAGTACTGAATTCCAGACCAATTTCATTTGTATCAACCGAAGATGTCGAGGAACCATTGACACCCAGTCATCTTATTCATGGTCGTAGAATATTGAATGTTCCAGATGATGTGAATGACAAACCAGAAACTCGCAATTTAAATCAAGAAGATATGCGAAGAAGAGTTTGTTATGTGAATCAAACACTAGATCATTTTTGGCGAAGATGGTCATCAGAGTATTTGTTGGAGTTAAGAAATAGATATGCTATCAAGGCTAAGTCCGGTCCTAAAGTGTCTATCGGAGATGTTGTTACAGTACATAATGAAAATCTACCAAGATGTCGATGGAGAATTGGTAGAGTAATAGAGTTAATCCCAGGCAAAGATAAAAATATACGAGCTGTTAAATTAAAGGTTCGAGCGGCAAACGGTCAGATTAATATAATCCAGAGACCCGTGCAGAAGCTGTATCCACTAGAAACGTCACACTCTGAAACAAATCCTGTTATCAATACATCAGATGTTGACAATTCAGATCCAGTGATCGATGTTTCAAGCAAACAGTCAACTACTGATGATCCAGATCCAGTTGTTCAGATTTCGGATTCCAGCCCACAACGTTCCGATCCCAATCCACCAGTTTCCAATTCTGGTTCACAACGCCCTAGAAGAGTTGCAGCTCAAGAATCTGATAGAAGGAGGAAACAATGGATCAAGGATTTAATGTCATAAATTCAAGGATTATTTTCAAGGAGTGGGGTTTCAAGGGATTTTATGTTCAAGTGTATATTTCTAGTGATAATATTCCAGGGATTTTTAGTTCAAATATAATCAAGTTCCAAGGTGTTAGATATTTCCAAATAATTTATAACTAGTTGTGGTGATTTGTTCAAGGACATTAATTCAAGGTGCTCAATATTCCAACATAAATTCTTAGATGACTTATTCCAAAGGTGATGACCTGTCTCATTCATTTCTTTCTTAATTCAGGTCATCGGGGGGAGTGTCCGTGATCTAAGTATGTCCATTCCAAATTAAGAATAATAATCGGTGGTCTTGTTCCACATTGTATTGTTAGAGTTATCTGCAGTTGTTTTTTGTATTACCTCAAAAAATGGTTGAATAATAAAGTCAAGATTGCTTGAAAGAGAGCCGTGTCAAAATGAACCATCGCATCCAAAGTCCAATACCCTACATTGGGTTTCTTTTGAATCCAAACTGGGAGATTTATTTACCACTGATATTTTGGTTTGGCTTTCCTAATTCAAATGTTAAATAATCAATTAAAATGTATGGATTTTAGCATACATTAAGCCTTGAAAAAGGAGATATTTTCTGAAATAAAACAATGACGATCAGCAGTATAAAAATTCAAGTAACTTACGTTGACAGTTTTCTGCTGTAACCAAACAGGAACAGGTTCAGTTGCATTGGAATCAAATTCGATTTCATGTGGTCTTATAGGTTGATTAATGATTTGATAGAAATATAATCTTAAAAAAAAAAAGAAAGAAATTGGATGTGTTTTAGTTTAAAGGTCAAATAAATATTTCTAAGATTGTTGTCTGTCTGTACTATAAGTACACAAAAGAATTCCTGGAACAGTACCATTAGTGTGGCTGTCCCTGATACCATTGGGAGAGGAAGTAGAAAATTCAAAATTTCAATCCAGGATACTTGTCAACGGTTCAGAAAGGGCTGCTGCCCAAGGCACATCCTGGATCAAAACCTGAATTCTCTATGCATTTGCAATTTGGTGGCAGCTGCATTTTGTTTTTAGATTTATTGTTTACTGTTCTGGACTAATTAAAACAATGGCAAAGGACAAGAGCCATCTCAATTGAAGTAGGGGAAAGAAAGAGAAATGGAGTTAAAAGTCCACTCCACACAAACTAGGTCATTTTGGGACTAACATGGGTCTATATATTTTATTTCCATAATTCACTTGCACGTACGGGTTTTTAGTTGTGTGACAGGCGAAATTACTTCTTGTCACGTACAAGCAGGTTATCGAAACCACACCACTTGATTCAATGACAGACCTTATGATATAATGCACATGCATTACACCATTCGACCCCCTATTAAAGTATGAAACACAAGAAAGAACATTCATTACTGACTGACCTGTTGTGTCCCTGAACAAATTGTCTGTTGACATGAGAATCATTTTCTGCTTCAATAAATTCTTGAAGTGATATTTCTGGACGTTTAGGTCTGAAAATAAAATTAAAAGGTGAAAACTTAAAGAAACTAAACACAGCAAAGCATATTAGGCGATGACTTTAAACACAGCAAAGCGTATTAGGCGATGCTTTTAAATAATATTTTAATAGGTTCTCAGACAAAAGTGCTATTAAATCGCGGCTTTGAAAGAACTTGGAATATACCTTTACTATGACATAAAACTTTATTTCTAGTAAATTGGTTTTGATAAAACGTATCAATATATCTTCATTATACCAGCCACTGGTCTAAGGTCCAACACAATTAGCCTACAGCAATCTGATTGGTTAATTCTTTGCAATGCAGTAATCAATGCATAATTGATTACTCTATTTCAATCTGGTAATTAAATACATCTGTGGTGTTGCATTCACTGTAACTTATCTTCCATGTGAAAACCTTATTTACTGACAAAAATACTGGGTGGCCAACCACAACTAATTCAGTTTGATCATATTAACGTGTGTGTGTTTAATTAACAGCAGGAATAAATTAATAAATTGGGGTTTATAAATTACCTATAGACAATGACATGAGTGACTGGTGTGCGACGTACTGGTACATTACGACTATAAGCATAACCAATATGGGAATGTAGGTCCTGAGGATTACCAACATATGATCCATCATAACGCTCATTTATAGATACATCTATTCTAGCACCTTTGGAATGAGGCTGAAAAGAAAAATCATTCAAAATACTTCCAATTGATAAAATGTTTGGGATTTGTTAGAGAACTAAACCAAGACTTATTAAACTGTAAACCTTAAGAGACCATGGTGGGGTTGAAAGAGTACAAATTTTAAAGTAAATAGCTGAGCTGTATTGATTTTCTAACAATAGTAATCTGAAACAAGCTTTTGAGCAGCCGTCATCATTATCTAAATATTATATGTGTATAGAAACGTGTGTACTATCCCGCGATAGGAGAGATAATTTAGAAAGTCAACTATTACAAGAGTAGCACTTACCACATACATAAAATCAAATCTAGCATGACAAAGGCGGAGATGTTTAAGAAGGCCATAAAGTTGCATACAATTAACAGAGCACCATGGACATCGGAGATCATCCCGAGCTTCTGTCTGCTGCTGGGTATTATTATTATACAAAAACTGATAAAATATGCGAATTCGTTTCTTCGGTGTTGTTTGACTGGCAGTTTTGATTATTGGCGATGTCTTGGTCGTACCTGTAATAAAAATAAGATCATCACTACAATATACGTCCACTTTCCTGCTTTGATTGATATGGTAATTTTTAAAATTAAGAGAATGAAATATGAAATTGCTGCATCGACTGCAAGAGGCAAAGAAGGCTAGGCGTTGGGTTTGTTTTGCCAAATTTACAGACTAAATATTTTTTAAAAAGTGGGTGCGGTGCGGTCATTCATAAAAAACAATAGGGATCATCCTGCGGCTATAAGGAATAGGTATGCAAAGTTTCAAAAGGATCTGTTCAGAATAGCGGCTTGTAGGCGACACACACAAATCATGCGTAGCTCTATCCCTGGGGGTCGGGCATTCACCCCCAAAATTAGAGGTCATCCCTAGGGTATAAGGAACAAGTATGAACACGCAACTAAATAGGGGAGAGAGAGAGAGGGAAATGGGGTTTAAAGTCCACTTGACACAAACTAGGTCATTCCGGGACTAACATATGGTTCAATTTTATTTTAATAATTCGCTTGCGCGTAGGGGGTTTAGCAGTTGGAGGAAACTGAAGGAACCGGAGAAAACCTATGAGGTTGGACAGACAACCCTACTCCTTGTCACGTACAATCGGGGAATCGAAACCTCGCCAGTTGACTCAATGACAACCTTTTGATGCAGCGCGCACACGCTAACCATTCAGCCATCCATCCCTCCCCCAAACAACCAAAATAGGGATCATCCTTAGGGTATAGGGTATAAGGAATAAGTATGCTAAGTTTCAAGACGATCCGTTAAGAATCAAGACCTGTAGGCGATACATAGACACAGACACACACACAGTAGCGACGGCATAATACATTTTGAAAGTGGGCGTATAAAAAGTTGCAAGCTCAGCAAGAACTAAGTTCTCAAAACTAGAACAAATGTAAGGTGCTTACAAGATTATGAAGCAAAGGGAAACAACTCTGGAATTAGAATCAAACAGTCTTGGAAATCTATAAGGTTCTTCTACAAATCAATATGACAGAACAAACCATATAAATTTCAAAGATAGGTTAATCATTGCTATTTTTAAAGTTCTGATAAGATTCATAACAAAAGGGTATAATGCCGGAGTGATCATTGAGTGATCTAAAATTAATAAGCATATAAAAAGTAAAGCTAAAAACAAAACAAAAATCTAATCTAATTGATCCACTATCAAACACTATATTTTTATCAATCCATGGCCAGAGGCCTCAAATGGAAATATTGCAAATTCATATTCTAATGTACCTACACAAAGAATCTTCAGCTGTCCTAGGTATTGTGTTAAATCACTTTTGTAGAAGCCAACGTTAAGAACTACGGCACTAAGATAATCTATAACCCATAGTCTTTCTTTTGATAAACTGTTTCTTTTCCAATATGTTGTTGTTTACTTACCTGAGATTTGGGTGTCAAGGATATGACTGGCTAGTTGATTGTTGCTGACAAATTCATCTTGAGCTGCACTGATATAACAATGATTGCCATTTTCTTGAGCTGTAGCTGTCCATGTTAAATGGAATTTTAGCGTAGGTCTGTTACTAAATACTTCATATGGTCCCATTGTCTAAAATTAACATTATAGAAAAATTTCAGACGAGTCGCAATTTTCTTCCACTGTTCACACAAGACTATTAATAAATCCTACAGTCATGTTAAAAAAAATTATTTTAACCCCAAACCCCCCTAACTATGGATACTTAGACCGCATTGTCTTGTGCACAGCTGTCACACTTGCACAAACTAGTAAATGGTCCTATAATCCAGAAAGCTATTCACAAAACTCAGGTGGTTTGAGGAGGTCTAAAGAGCAGGTTTGGTCTGTCCAGGGATGTACCGGTACATATATATATAATAATTTTCTCAAAATTGTCTTCAAGGTACTGGGGGGTAGTCAATATTTACATGTACTAAGTGCTAAAGGGTTAACTATGTATATATTCAAGAAATAAGAACAGACAAAACATGAAATCACCATATTTTTACTTGTATTTGGTGTAGTATTTAATGATGGAATTGACAATTAACAATTACCAATGTTAGAAGAATGGAGATTAGTCCTACAGACTTATTTTCATGTCGTGCTACGCCAGGTAACACAGCTAGTATTTTATAGAAACTTTAGACACACAGACCAAGTGTTCTCCCCATCTTAAATACAAATTAAATATTTATCCTATATCAGAGATCAATAGTCCCAAAATTATCTATTTACGTCTTGTTCATTTTGAGGTTTTAAAAAAAACAATCGTACAAACTAACATTTTACCGACCTTGCCGTCGACTACAGTTTCCCATGTTGCATTTTTCTTCTGCATTGATTTTAGTCCCTGCTCTCGTAATAAAAGTTCATATTCTCCGTCTGTTAACAAACATCGTTTATTTTTATCGTAAATGACTAGTTCTGCACAATAAACTATGGCATCCTGTTCAGTATGACCGTTATGTCCATTCTTACGCCTCTTAGTTGGTGGTTCATCTGACAAAATAAAAATATTAAATATGTTTAACGTCAATGGAAGCATTTTGAATCCTTTGCAAAGTAATGTATTTTGAAATTTTAATGTAATAAAGATATCCTGAATTCAACATTTTGTATTTGGCATCTCTCCTTGCAGACAATAAAAACAAGTCAGCATCACCTATAAGTGAGAGAGAGAGAGAAATGTTGTTTAACGTCCACTCGACACAAACTAGGTCATTTTGGGACTAACATATGGTTTAATTTTATTTCAATAATTCGCTTGTGCATAGTGATCTTTAGCAGTGGGAGGAAACCAGAGGACCTGGAGAAAACCAACGATCCTACTCCTCATTACATACAACCAGGGAATCAAAACCACGAATGGTATGTAAAATGTTGGCCATTCCTAAAGTATAATATTTCTGAACTTTTTAACATTCAGAATCCAGTTTATATTTACAAAATTGTCTAAGGTGCCACTTGAGTTTGCAATATTTGCTTCAACATGCTGTAACATTCTATAGGTATTAATGTACGTCTGTAATCTGCATACATGTATGTTCTGGTAAGAATGGATTCGATCAATAATACATTCTCTACATGTCATCAATATCCCTCGCCATTTCTTCTAAACTCATCTCTCCAGAGAATGTTTAATAGTTTATAATTTGGAAGTCAATTTGAACTGATAATGAATACTAAGTAGTTTGAATTAGAATTATCCAACTATGCTCGTCAGTCATCCCCAGATACATGTGAATATTTATGTCCAGTCTCCTTTGTCATAGGGGGAAACAAAACTTTCAAAAAAAAATAACCACATGTAATAATTAAATCTTTGCAATAGAGACTGAAGTAGACTGATTTATGATACAATGGTGACTAGTTCATTGTTTTATCAATCAGTGTTTTTAAACATCAAATGGCTGTAGTGGACTATAAACAATTAAGATCCCCATTACTGCTTCTCCGCTCAAACCATAATTCAAGGGAAACAAAAGTTTTTCAAGCATGGCCTATAAGTAATTGTTATCTAATTTAATTATTTTTATATTTTTGTACCTTCATCTGTTATATCTCCATTGCACAATCCGTTAGGTAGACCTCGTTTTATAGGACATGTAACTCTAACCACTAATACAAACGATCGCACACTGTGACCATTATTCTGATTAAATTTATCATTACTGATAACCACAGATGCTCCACTTAATGAAGTATCTATTGGGTTCAGCAAAGCCTTCACCTGTCCCAAACATGTCTGCATGACAGGAAGGGAAACATCCTGAAAAGAATAAAATGTTCAGTTTTAAATGCTGTAACAGTGATATTTTTGGCTAGACTTTAGAATCTGTTCACCACTCGGTTTAACTGTTCGACATCCAGGCAAGGCAACCTCAGGAAAATCCATACAAGTTTTTTTTACAAAAAGATAGGTTGCCAGACAATACAACATACGCCCCTAGCTGCTAAGGCATTCGATCAGTCCCCAAAGGTAGTTCCTAAAATGTTTCAAATTGATAAATGGTGATTTCTCCAACGATGATTATCAGAAATTCAATAAACTACTTCGTCTCATTAATTCTAAAGTCAAATGGATGATGTTTTATGGAATAATCAACCATTTATTTTAAGATGTTGTACATCTCTATATTTATTTAAATAACAACTAAAAAACACATTTATTTAATCAGAATTTTAACTGACTCTGTATACAGCTGTTGACATGTCAATAGTCTTGTGCCCCTGAACACGTTATATGAAAGGGTGCACTATAAATATGCTGTAAATAATAACTGTAGCCTTAATATTAATATGAAAATGAAATGAAATGGGACATAACGTTCTATTGTTCTGCTTCTACTGGGCTAATGAAGACGGGTATAAGCCATACAGTGTGCTATGAGGGAAATTTGCCTGGGCAGCGGCACTATGACCTGCTCATATATCTAATTTCTACTGCTAAGGGATCTTTTACGTACACGCCAATATATACACAGGGCCTCGTTTTTTTTGCCCATGCGAACGACTAGACAGGCCCTCCATTATGCACCACTGACAACAATATAAAATCATATTTCAACGCAGTTTAGAAAGTAAAATTAGAAGTCTTGTGATTAAATTTCTTATTTTGAGAAGGTTCAAAGCTGCTTTATAGACCGTACTACAATCAAACTACAAAACAGTTGATATTATGTGCATAATTTTATTTTTATAATTTTGAGTACAGAATCACTTGTTGCAGCTAGTATCATCTAAAATTTATTTTCCTACACATTTATAACTCAAACTTACCTTTCTTTTCTTATGACAGACTTTGAGTAAAATAAATTCTACTTCAGCTTTGTCAGCATTCGTTGGAACTGTGGAAATAAAATACAGATTAACCCTATGGTACCAGGACTGTTCCCTCCAGCAACTCACATCACACCAGTCACATGAATAGCTATGAACCATTTAAAGATGGTTTTAGTTTTAGTGACTCGGATGGTTAGAGGCTTTTTAGGGGAGCAGTTAGTATTTATTTGATTAGGCCAAAAAATTGTATTGTTGATTGTGAACAAAGTACTGTAGGAAAAGAACCCCACTGAAACATGTCGCTGTTCCTAACTTGTTTTCATAAACAAAAATTTTCTTAATATTGTTTTGTTCTAGTAATTTCTTTGTTGTATAATTGATGTTAAATCTGTCCTGCCAATAGTTCAATTCCTATGTCTCAAAAACTTGGAGGGTCATGTGACAAGCATTTATGTCGTAAGACTTATTCCCCCTGATCAACCTTCATGAATAGACAGGATTTGCTATCCATCGGATGATGCATGCTTGGTTAACTTCAGAACATAAAGCCTATATTGTATGCAATATACTGTGACACAATAAACCAGTGGTTGCCAGGCAAGATATGCCCACATTTTGCAAGAGATGGAGAGAGAACAAGCTAAAAACAAAAGCGATTTTTCGTACAATCAGGGGCCATAATCCAGAAAGTTATGGTCTGAAATGAGCAAATATCAAAAGGGACTGGGATCTTTGGGATATAAACATATATTTTAAGTTTCATCAAAATCGGATAAAAATTTGACCTCTAGAGGGTCCACAACCTTTGTCTTACATACTTTTACACAATTTGAGTACAAAGAGCGGCTATTTTGTCTGGCTGTTTCATTTCCATTTTCCCAAAATTCGAATTCAACCTTCATTATGGTGGAATGGTGATATATTTGAATGGTTTTTAAAATCGGATAAAAAATTCTGACCTCTAGAGAATCTGCAAGTTAAAAAACATGATTTTTCGAACAATCTGGGGCCACAATCCAGGAAGTTACTGTCTGATATGCTCGATTAGCAAAAGAAACCGAGATCTTTGGAACATAACCATATATTTTAAGTTTCATCAAAATCTGATAACAATCGTGACTTTTAGAGGGTCCACAACCTTGGTATGACATACATTTACACTATTTGCGTACAAGGAGCCGCCATTTTGTCGGATAGTTTTTTTCCGATTTTAACGAAATTTGAACCCAGAGTGTAACGGTGATAAATTTAAATGTTTTTTAAAATTGGATAAAAATTGTGACCTCTTGAGCGTCTACAAGCTAAAAACGAGATTTTTCGTACATACAGGGGCCATAACCCAGCAAGTTACGGTCCAATAAGTGCAAATATCAAAAGGAACCACGATTTTTGGATTATAAACATACATTTCAAGTTTCATCAAAATCGGATAAAAAGTGTGACTTCTAGAGTGTCCACAACCTTGGTAATCACATTCTTTTACACTATTTGCGACCATTTTGCCTGTCAGTTTCGGTCAGAATTTCACGAAATTTGAATTCAACTTTAATTGATGTGTAAAGTTAATGTATATAAATGCTTTTTAAAATTGAATACAAATTGTGACCTCTACAAATGTGATTTTTTGAACAATCGGGGCGAATAATGCAAGAAGTTACAATCGGATATGTGCAATTATCAAAAGGAACCATGATCTTTGTGATATAAACACATTTGTGATATACATTTAAAGTTTCATTAAAATCGGATAAAATTGTGGCCTCTAGAGACTCCACAACCTTGATATACCATACTTTTACACTATTTGTGTACAAGGGCCAGCCATTTTATGCAGCAGTTTTGGTTATATTTTCACGAAATTCGAACTCAACCATCATTAGGGTGTAAAAGTGATATATTCACCTTTTTTTTTAAATCAGATAAAATTTGTGACCTCTAGAGGGACCACAAGTTAAAAACGCAATTTTTCTTACAATCAAGGGCCATAATTCAGTAAGTTACGATAGGATATGTGCAAAAAATTTGAAAGGAAGCAAGATCTTTGGGTTATAAACATGTATTTCAAGTTTCATCAAAATCGGATCAAAATTGTGACCTGCAGGAGGTCCACAACCTTGATATACCAGATGTTTACACTATTTGCGTACAGGGACGGCCATTTTGTCCTGCAGTTTTGGTCCGATTTTCACGAAATTCGAACTCAACCAACATTAAGGTGTAATGGTGATATATTTGCCAAGGCTCTACACAGCATTTTGAACTTACTTGTGCAAACATAAGTAAATTTTCAAAACCACTAGCCAAACAAAATTTTCAGTTGCCAAGTCTGAAGATTAGAATAATTTGTTGTATGATATAGCTAAATTATATTGTGAACATACATAACTCGTCGTCCTATAATAATAATAAAAAAAGATGTTTAAACATTTTTTTCCGACTGGGACTCATTGCGAGACGAAGACGGCGAAACTTGTAATTTTGCCTTGTTTGGGTGGTGTAGCGTCAGTAGCATGACTATCATCATTTTTCCCCAACTGAGACTCACTGCGAGACGAAGTTACTTTACTAGTAAAGTAAGACGATATAGGTTTGATTCGTCTGCTAGCCATGCTGCCAGCTGTCTCGCAAACTTCCGATAAATACAGCGCATGCGCAATGAGAATTTCCTCGCAGAGGACAATGAGATTGACCCAATTTTAAACCAGGAAAGTAACAGGAGTGACATTTGACCGGGATCATTGCCGATTACGTTATCTTTACGGAGAAAAGTTCAGATAGCTATAGTGTTAATTGGGGACTTCAAGATATATGTTCACTCGCCAGAAACCTAGCATTTATAAATATCTGGTCGCCATTGTCAAAATTCACTCGCAAATGCGAGTATTTCAGTCGCATTGTAGAGCCTTGTTTGCAAGTTTTGTTTCTTAAATCGGATAATAATTGTTATCTCTAGAGGGACCACAAGCTAAAAATGCAGTTTTGCATACAATCAAGAGCCATAATTCAGGAATTTATGCTGCGATATGCACGAATATCGAAAGAACCAAGACCTTTGGGAGATAGATCTATATTTCAAAATCGGGTAAATATTGTGACCTGTAGAGTGTCCACAAACAAATTGTGGACAGATGGTAATGAGCGCAATGGCATAATACGTCCACATGAAAAAATGACGACTAAAAGGGATACTTACTCTCCTGATCAAAAAACCCTTTCACTGTTATATTCAGGTATTCAGACTTGTAGCTGAAAATGACAGAAATATTTATCAAGTGAAATTACACAAAAAATTTATTTGTTGGGTATGGTATCCCAAAGTAGTCGTGACAACAATGGCAGTCCTTATTGCAACAAAAATTGATCTAGGCGTTAATAAGTGTGGTTTACTGGTCGAGAGCGAGATATAATGTTATATATTGAAACAACACGACAGACATCAATATATTACGCGATGTCTTAAGCTCGAGACCATTAAACAACTTAACATACAGACTCGCACGTGCTTTGCAATGAAATACGTCATGAGGGTCCAAAATTTTAACTACAATTAATGTCGCTTGGCACATTTACCGTACCATTATTTGAAATAATGGTACGCCTACATCAAAGGATGATGTCACATCTGTATTTTAAGTCTTCTTAGACTACAGATGTGATGCCCATGTGTGGGTACCATTTTTTCAAATAATGGTTCATTCTCAGTCAGCAGACGGCTGTCCCTCGAGACAGTCTACATTTCTCTTTTGCTTCTTTGTATTCAGTTTTGTTTTTGTGACGATGGAACATGTACCCTATATGTATTGAATACTTAAACGTTTCTTGATTGAATTTAGAGTTTAGACTACTTTTTTATACATTTCACCGATGTGGTTACTTGTATAGTTATATTTTACTACATATGCTTACATTCGCATTTCGTGTAGCATATAACAGATCATGACTCATGCTGGCATTACACTTTGGGTTGTATTCCTAATTGTTTTCAAATTTGAGTGAAGTCTGTGTCACTACAGTCCCGGGACTGTACAGCGCAGTGGAAGCTTACGGCTAGCCCCCGGATCCATTCACTTTTTTTGAATTGTCTTTATGTTTGTGTTTTCCTGAGTATGATGTCCTGTCCGTGTATTTGTTTTTGTGTAAATTTTGTGTGGTGCAGTCCCCCTGCACTTATTATTGTAGTAGTTGGTGCTTTCATAGTAATGATATCGGAGGCAATCGTACCTTATTTATACAAGATGGTGATAAAATATTGCAAGATAGCGTAGCAACAGTATATCACTTAATGTCTCGCTCTTCACTTTTAAACCTCACTTAGTCCAAACCAATTTGATTTTCAGTTCTTCGGGATCTTGATAAATAAATAGTCACTTAAATCATGTGAAAGAGAGAGAGAGAGAGAAATGGGGTTTAACGTCCACTAGACACAAACTAGGTCATTTCGGGACTAACATATGGTTCAATTTTATTTCCATAATTCGCTTGCACGTAGGGGTCTTTAGCAGTGAGAGGAAACCGGAGGACTCGGAGAAAACCCACGAGGTTGGACAGGCGACCCTACTCCTTCTCACGTACAACCGGGGATTCGAAACCACACCAGTATGTTTTGTTTAAAATTTCAAAACTTAGAACTGAAAACTTTTGAACAGTGCAACCAAGTAGTTTGGGTTTTTTAATTAGTCTTTCCCTGAAGAAATAAGCACAATTTTAACAGGTGTTCCAAAAGAACAAAAAATTAAATTGGCATGGCTTTAGTTACTATATTTCATACCACATTCCTAAATATAACATCTTAGTATTTGTCCAAACTACATTTTTGGATTATTCCCTTATTCAATACATATTAGATTGCCTGTAGTGACTTTTGATGTGTATAAATATTTAGCATAGTAAATTTTATAGTATAAATAGTAAACTTACGCTGGTTGACCTCCAGCATTATTATTTCTCTCTATAACTCGATCTAATAAACAGTCCGCTTTAAACGTCTTCCTAAAACAAAATAAAAAACAAATATGGTACTCAAATCTTTTACATTTTTTTGGCCAAATTTTCAAAAAAGATCTTAGACTGAATGTTCAATCCTAACTTTCCCGACATTCTTCCCTGCTCATGTCAGGACTAAAAGGAACAGGGTTGCAATTTTAACCAAAATGGACAGCTGCCTTTTAGTAGACTGTATAGTCAAAGTCATATGGATGGGACAAAAAAATGATTTCCACTGGTGTACATTTGAATGTTGAAATTCGATGAACAACAGTAGACAGAAAACTGGGTCTGGATAGAATTTCCCTCGAAGCACACTGTATGGCATATCCAGCTTATAAACCCCATTCCATTTGTATATCTGCCTGCAAATCATGACAGAGATTATACACATACCTTTTAGCATTGGAAACCGATCTATTATTTTTCATATACCACAGATTTCTGGTCAGGAAAATGGGCTGAAAAATAAATTCATTTATATATAATCAGATTTAAACTTTCTACCGTATATCGAAAGTCAAAATGGTTAAAAAATCACTAGGGGAGTTTTTTTTGTTATCTTTTTCCATTACATGTATATACAAGCCTGGAAATAAGGCACCTGTCACAGACAATATCAGGCTTTGTCAGGCACAAAACCTCTGGTGCCTGTCATTTGGTCTGGCACGGATTTGTCTTTTTTATTGATATTAATAATACAAATTAATTAGTGCCTGACATTTTGTCAGGTACATCTAAAACCATTATTTCCAGGCCTGTGTATAAGGGGTACGGTATTATTATTCTTCTCTGCCATTCTCATGTTCCATATCAAAAACTTATTTTTATTTCAAAAAAATAAATAGCCATCCTTTCTTCAGCCATCTTTTGTGCTGAATTGTCTCTGCTATTATCACTACTTACCAACACTACATTTCTTGTTCTAAGATATCTATAAATCTGTGTGGGCTCTGAAAAACAACAAGAATATATTATCTCTCTCACAGATGGCATATCCTAAAATTTGTAATTGGTTGCAGTTACAATCTTGGCTTTACAAATCCACTTCTAACAGCTTTTTATTATTTTACTATTTCAACCATTATCAGGACTGTAACAAGACTTTTAATCCCACTTGACCATTACAATAGAAACTTCTCATTGTACACAGTCTACCATCACCCTTCTCACCAAAATTCATCAATAATTATTTACAAATTGCAAGCCAAAGATTGTGATGTATTTTTCTAGCCCCAAAATTGAATTCTGTAAAGTAATAGGGTCTACCATATTTAGTATTTTACATATTCATATAGATCGACTGAAAGGTAAACGAGGATGAGCCATTACATTCAGACATTTTTTAGTGCAAAATAGGTTATGTGCCCTTGGTTTGAAATTAGTCAGGCTTAACTAATCCCCCATCCGTTCTCTGGCAGATTGACAGGTCGGGATAATCAAGACTATTTTCTACGAAACATTACAGAAAGCTTGATTAAAAAAATGATTCAGTAATTCAGTAGGCAACTCAACAATTGTTTCGAGAAACTTGTAAAAGCAAAAGGAAAATACTACTAATTCTTGCTTTGGAGATATTCATTTTACTAAACCAAAAGATGCTGCTCCTAACATTAATTAACTTATCCAGACCATAATCAACTCTAGATGCCATCGTTTGCCTGTGATATTTAAAGGATCTGAATACATTTTGTGATGGATAATCAAGACTTTTATTTATTATTTTACCAACGTTAGTAGTGATGATCGAGGCTAGCCTAAAATTGAATCTCTCACCTCAGTTCAGAGTGAAGTAATTTTGACTGAAATTTTCAGTATATTCTGTTTTCATTATCTATTATTTTTAACTATTACTATTTTAGTGCAAACTGGCAGCTCTTTACCTAATCTTACCTTAACTAATACTCCTTTAATAATAAAGAATATTAAAATACAAAATGATCGTAATTTTCTATAGCTGTTGTAACAACCAAAAAGCTAAATATTACTGTTATTCAGAATCGTTAACATTAGATCTTTTATGGCTTTAATAGTTGATAGATGTGTAGAAAATTTCACCTGCGATAGCTATTTACTACAGTCTAATACAACATACTCCTGATAATTTTCATGCTGAATGGCTTACCTAGAATCACTTGACAACCGATCATTTGAATGTGCACATTCACTGTGGTGAGTTCAACTTTTAGAGTAGCCTACATTTTGACTGTGTGGGGCACTCTACTACATCCATAGTTCAGCTCTAAACATAGGTCTCATTACACTTGGCCTGTACGTTTAGGAACTCTCCTATTGAATCCTTGTCGAAACCGAGATCCGAACCCAGTCAATCTTACTGGGCAACTGTTTACTGCTAAACTGTGGGGTGTCAATCCGTGTGAACGACTGTGAGAAAATAAGACTTTGCTTACCTCGCTGTTAAAAAATATGTCTCCGTCTTCTAACCGACTTGGCGGACTTCATTGAAAGGGTAACGCACAAATTTACGAATTCGGCCATATAAGATGAAACGAAATTTAGGTAAGCCTGGGAGAAAAAAATTGAAATCTTTGAAAGGTTGAGAATCTTTAGTCATTTATTGCTTTGCCTAGCAAATTACAATAATTTACAATCAAATTCTTTCAAAAATCCCAATTTTTTCCCTCCAGACTTACCTAAATTTCGTTTCATCTTACATCGCCGAGTTCGTAAATTTGTGCGTTACCCTTTCAATGACGTCCGCCAAGTCGGTTAGAAGACGGAAAAGTATTTTTTTTAACAGCGTGTTGTGTCGCCCATACTTGTTCTACTTCTCACTAAGATGTTCATCTATATTGTTCAGGCGTTCACAGGGACTGACACGCGACCGTTTAGCAGTAAAAAGTTGCCCAGTAAAATTGACTGGGAAGCCATTGGAATTTCGACAAGGATTCAACTGGAGAGTTCCTGAACGTACAGGCCGAGTGTAATGAGACCTACGTTCAGAGCTGAACTACTACATTCACAACTTGTGAAATTGTATACTAGTACGGTAATCAACATTTATTGAAATAATATCTATCCAATTAAACAACATTCCCATTAAATACTTAAAATAGGCCTTAGGATTGTTTTTTATTTTTTAGTAATTTAGACTTAATTAAACAGTCACACTCTAGTGACACTTTAGTATTGTCAGAATGTCTGTAGGTTTTGATTCATAACCAGAAGCATCTTTCTTGACCTACTTGAACAAGATCCCAAGATGTTTCCAGGAAGTAGGTTGCATGTCTGTGCTATAATGTTATCAAGTCATTGAACTGTCTATCTTAACTATCTACCCTACTTTGCGGGCAACTCTTTCCAGGCTGACAACTTTCTTATCCAATGAAAGATGCGAACGGTTAGCTATTAATTCAACAATTGTAATAAATAAAAAAAAAAAAACGTTTAAAGAAATGTCTTTTTTTAGTAAACGTAAGGAATATGGTCAATTCTGACGACAGTCGCCGATACTGACACGGTATATCGTGGAGCAACGGTTTATATTTTATAGGTCAGTATTCAAATCAATGGAAGAAAAAAAAACAGACACGACTGGCGATGTCATTTATAACTTACTCTCAAAAGCCTGTAGAAATTGTTCGTGATCAGCCTGTAGTGATTCGTGTGCCTGTTCAACCGGTGGCTTCTTTTCCCTTTCCTTCTTCTTGACGGCCTTGGGTCTCATTTCGACCCCTCAAACCCAACTTAACCCTCAATCCCGCGGGAAGCGATCAAAAACAAAGCACATTGGTCTAGTCTTAGAGCATGATGGGATACTTCTGTCGGAAGCAGTTGAATCGAGTCGATAAACTAAAGGACGGCAGGTGCGCGTTTATCGGCACGCCGGTTCTACAACGCTTGTATTTCTACATGCATTTCTTTCACGATATATAAGTTGTCATTATTGTTAAGGAACTTTATTCGTACGTCAGAACTGTAATAATCAGAAAAAAAATATGTCGGTCAATGGCCCCAGTTCACATAGCCCAAGAAGGTCTTTAAAGCGCACAAACAACAATTACGTACAAACGCGTAGGCCCTATTATTTATTTGGCCGGTAAAATCTTGTAAGCATTTTTAGAAGAAAATATTTGTTTTAGTTTTTCCTGTGTGGGCGTTATTACACGAGACAGACGATATAACGTTTTGTGGTGTTGGGTATGTGAACTCCACTTATTAACTGTTGTCCCTGAAGCTTTAAAAAACAAAACTCCGACATCGGCCTATATCTGTTTTTTTTTTTTTTTTTAAATTTAAATTTCAACCAACATAATTATGACAGGTCCTATGTGAACCACGACATAAACATTAATTGTCCTATTTTGTTTCTTGCTTTTCCCTTGGGGGGTTGGATGGCTGAATGGTTAGCGTGTGCGCGCTGTTCATAAAGTCTGTCATTGAGTCGACTGGCGTGGTTTCGAATCACCGGTTGTACGTGACAAGGAGTAGGGTCGCCTGTCCAACCTCGTGGGTTTTCTCCGGGTCCTCCCGTTTCCTCCCACTGTTAAAGACCCCTACGCGCAAGCAAATTATTGAAATAAAATTAAACCATATGTTAGTCCCGAAATGACCTAGTTTGTGTCGAGTGGACGTTAAACCCCATTTCCCCCCCCCCCTCTCTGCCTTTCCCTTAAGCTGTGTTTACATGCCGACTTTCCTTTTTTGACAAAACGTTTATTTGATATGGATGGAGTTTGTTGAAAGGTATCTGTTTATTTAACCGCCAACGGCTCCCATATAGTTTTAGTGTCTGTAGTGTTTAAACTATGGATTTGTGGTCAGTAAATCAAACAACTTCAAAATCGTAACGATCTATAAACCGACAAAATGTATCTTGTAATATAACCAGTTTAATACGTGACAGACGAGTTCAAAAATTATAAATAAAAGCAAAAATGCTTTCCCACGAAATTATTAACGGATTTTAAATCAACGTATAACAAATTACATTTTTTACTAAAAAAAAATAATGGATTTCCTAAAAAAAAAAATTACCCAAAGGGTGCGCACGTGTAACGGCAGTGGCGTATCTACGGTATGGCAAGTAGAAATGAAATGAAATGAAATGGAGTTTAACGTCCTACTGTTCTGCTACTAACCTGGGCCAATGAAGACGGGCATACGCCATACACTACGGCCTACTCTTATATCGAATTCCAACTGCCAAGGGAGCTTTTACGTGCACGCCAATGTGTACACGGGACCTCGGTTTTTCGTCCCATCCGAACGACTAGACAGCTTTCCTTGTCAGCCCCCCCCCCCCGTCCTGCAATGGAGCGCATGTGGTACTGGCAGTAGGACCATTGTATCAGTGAACGCAAGGAAGGCAGGCCTACAATTGTAATTTACATGTAGTACCATAATTTGTTAATTAAAAGATTAATGAAATTGACTTGTATTTTTGAGTTAATTTTATGTTATCTAAAAGAAATGTTTGTCAGATGTATAGACAGGGGTGTAATTCCAGTGCTTGTCATAGGCGGCATTTTCTGCAGATACGCCACTGCTGTAAAGTTATCACAAACTGGAACCGGTCGGCTTATGGACGTAAAGGTCGATTTTTATATTTTGATCGAATGGTTAGCGGTTGTGAGAACAGTAAGCGACCTAAACGTACGACAGAGTGCCATTACTGCACGGCAAAAAAGTGGTAAATGGAGAGGAGTAAAGGCAAATACCACCTGCATTAGACCCCCCCCCCCCCCACACACACACACACGGGTCACTCAAGTCGCTTGACAGAGCTGCGTAAAATAAATTTTAGAATACCCTAACGATTAAAATGTTGTGAGAGGGATTTTAAGCAAAGTTTTGATAGACATAATAGTTTGGGTATGTTCAAACATATCAAAGAGAGAGAGAGAGAGAGAGAGAGAGAGAGGGGGGGGGGTTAACATCCCATCGACATAAACTAGGTCATTTCGGGACTAACATGTGGTTCAATTTTATTGCAATAATTCACTTGCGCGTAGTGTCTTTAGCAGCGGGAAGAAACCAGAGGACACGGAGAAAACCCGCGAGGTTGGACGCGACCCTATTCATTGTCACTATACAACCAGGAAATCGAAACCACGCCAGTTGACTCATTGACAGACCTTATGATACAACGCGCCCGCGCTAACCATTCGCCCATCCATTCGCCCGTTTTAAAATTGATAATGTAATAGAAGTAATTTCCCTTTGTCAGTGGTTCACAATGGAGGGCCATGAAAATAATAGCGTCTAGTTGTGTAGATGGGACGTAAAACGAGGTCCCGTGTAAACGTTGACGTGCACGCAAAAGAATACTTGACAGTCGGAAATCGAAAAAAGAGTAGACTTTAGCCCGGCCAAAATTTCTACACTGAAAAAAAAACCTTCTCTTTTCAACACAAGTTAGGTGTCTATTTAAAAACACAAACTTGTGTTGAGACAACACAACTTTTATTGAAACAACACAAACTTGTGTTAAATGTTGAAACAACTCCAAACTTGTTTAGAATATTTTAAACACAAGTCCTTGTGCGAAAATCCAACACAAGAGTTTTTTCAGTGCAGCATATTACACTTTATGGACCCGTCCTAGACGGCCCAGTCGGTGCAGAAAAGAAGGACGTTAAACCCCATTTCACTTTTACACAAACGGGTTACCTAATTAATTATGAAGTATGAGAAATGCCACATGTATGCTTGAAATATAGTTATAACGTAAATATGTAATGTTGTAAGTAATATGACCAATAGAAATGTTACACACAAATAATGGCAATGTATTTACAAAGCCAGAAATGTGTGATTAAAGCTATAATTAGTAATATCCTTACAATTTGTATTTTATGGTATAGAGTAACCAGCATCTGTTTACTCGTTTTGTCAGGGTGGTTGATGTTGTCCAGTGGCAGTGCTCTAACGCGTCCGCTTTTGGTGGTACGATCTGTTATTAAGTCGGGGGGTTGGATGGCCGAATGGTTAGCACGTGCGCGCTGTATCATAAGACCTGTCATTGAGTCAACTGGCGTGGTTTCGAATCCCCGGTTGCACGTGACAAGGAATAGGGGCGCCTGTCCAACCTCGTGGGTTTTCTCCGGGTCCTCCGGTTTCCTCCCACTGCTAAAGACCCCTACGCTCAAGCGAATTATTGAAATAAAATAAAACCATATGTTAGTCCCGAAATGACCTAGTTTGTGTCGAGTGGACGTTAAACCCCATTTCTCTCTCTCTCTGTTATTAAGTCAAGTGGGGTGGTTTCGATCCCTATAACTAATTCGTGGCAAGCAGAAGGATCGCCTGCAACCTCGTCGACATTCTTCTCGGGGCCCTCACGTAGGGGAGGCAGAGGAGGGCGGCAAATTATCTAAAAACGGACCCTTTGATTATTTATGGGCTAGCCTCCATGGAGGCTGAAATAGCAAATCACCGGCCTTCGCTGCCCCTAAACCTGTGTAAACCAGTTCATATTTCAGCAAATAGAGGGGGTAGAATTATGATTTTTCCAAGACATATTATAGTGTTTTTCGATAATATGGAGGGTTGAAGGGGAAATAAACATAACTGTTTTACATATAAGTTGATTTAATAAATTAAAATAGTTATCAAGATAAAAGTGTTAAAAGTATATAAAGCCAGCGGCTGCCAGGCAGGATACGCCCACATTTTCCAGAGATGGATAGAGAACAAGTTAAAAAGAAAGTGACTTTTCCTACAACCAAGGGCCATAATTCAGGAAGTTACGGTCCGATATGCGCGAATATCGAAAGGAACCGAGATCTTTGGGTTATAAACTTACATTTCACGTTTCAACAAAATCGGATAAAAATTGTGGGCCTATTTTCACGAAATTCGAACTCAGCCGTCCTTGGGGTGTAACGGTGATATAATAATATGTTTTTTTTAAATCGGATAAACATTATGACCTCCAGAGATGGATAGAGAACAAGTTAAAAAGAAAGTGACTTTTCCTACAATCAGGGGCCATACTTCAGGAAGTTTCGGTCCGATATGCGAGAATATCGAAAGGAACCGAGATCTTTGCGTTATAAACTTACATTTCAAGTTTAATCAAAATCGGATAAAAATTGTGACCTCTATAGTGTCCACAACCTTGATATACCATATTTTTTACGCTACTTGAGGGGCGGCCATTTTGTCTGTCAGTTTTGGACCGATTTTCACGAAATTCGAACTCAGTCGTCCTTAGGGAGTAACGGTGATATAATAATACGTTTTTTTAAATCGGATAAAAATTCTGACCTCTATAGGGTCCACAAGCTACAAACGCCATAATTCAGGAAGTTACGTTCCGATATGCGCGAATATCGAAAGGAACCGAGATCTTTGGATTATAAACTTACATTTCAAGTTTCATCAAAATAGGCTTAAAATTGTGACCTCTATAGGGTCCACAACCTTGATATACCATATTTTACACTATTTAAGAACGAACGGCAGCCATTTTGTCTGTCAATTTTGGGCTGATTTTCACGAAATTCGAATTCAACCGTCCTTAGGGTGTAACGGTGATATAATAATACGTTTTTTTAAATCGGATAAAAATTATGACCTCTATAGGATCCACAAGCTAAAAACGCGATTTTTCGTACAATCAGGGGCCGTAATTCAGGAAATTACGGTCCGATATGCACAAATATCGAAAGGAGCCAAGATCTTTGGGTTATAAACTTACATTTCAAGTTTCAACAAAATCGGATAAAAATTGTGACCTCTATAGGGTCCACAACCTTGATATACCATATTTTTACGCTATTTGAGAACGAAGGGCGGCCATTTTGTCTGTCAGTTTTGGGCCGATTTTCACGAAATTCTAAATCAGCCGTCCTTAGGATGTAACAGT